GGTAGTAAGTAGGAAGCTTCTTAAGATGTATGCACATTTTATATTTTAATGTAAAAATGTGGTTTGGGTCAGAGATTAACACTCCAGGCAGACAGGCTGTGATTATCTAATGTACCCTCTGGTGCACACCTGACATGTCTGCGTGTATTCCAGGGCTGTCGGAGAAGGTGGTGCTGGAGCATCCTCTGAAGTCCTTCCAGCTCCAGCCTCAGCTCTAGCCTTGGCTCTCATTTAAGCAGAGGAAGCACAGCCTGGCTCCCATATGCACACAGGCTCAGTTTACTCATCCCCAAGCCCGGGGTTGCCTCTTCTTGCCTGCCCTGCCAACCTCCCAGGGAAGGAGGGCAGTTGAATGGGGCAGTTTGCATCTGAGTGCTTCGTGCTCTAGACCAGGCAGCACGATGTGCCAGCTTTGCCGAAGCGGCCCCTGCGGTCATTGGCAGTCCCTCCACTCGGGACACTGGTGCTTTCAAGTCTAGTCCATCTTGCTTTCTAGCAGAGCTTGCCTGACAGGTGACAGCAAGGACAGGCCAGGCTTCCTGCTTAGTGGGGGTGCAGGGGACACACTGGTTCCTTACCAGGGTCTCAGATAGTCTGCATCATCTGCCAGGCCAAGCCGGCCAGAGCCCAGGACTGTGCTGGGTCCTTCGAGGACAGGCCTGAGCCCTTCCCAGCACTGTCAGAAGCCTTGCCAGATGGGCTGGTGGAATCTTATCATCCTCCCTCTGCCTGCCCTAGTCAGCAGTTCCGGCTCTGTCTGAACCCGCACAAGCTCCATTGAACTCAGGATACCTGGGAGGAGTTCTCTATCGAGAGTCTCAACTGCAGTTCCACACCTGTCCTTCTGGATATTGGGCTGATGTATCTTCTCAACCTCCCCAAGTTGCTGCGCACTGATCATGTTCCTATTTTTTCCATCCAGTTCAATGCCTTGCCCTTGCCCTAGAGATACAGGGTACTATGTGCTCTCTAAGGGCTCACGGTCTGGGTGAGCAACCATCCAACGGAATTTTGTGTTGATAGAAGTGTTCTGTATCTGGGCTCACGGTCTGGGTGAGCAACCATCCAACAGAATTTTGTCTTGATAGAAGTGTTCTGTATCTGGGCTCACGGTCTGGGTGAGCAACCATCCAACAGAATTTTGTCTTGATAGAAGTGTTCTGTATCTGCACCAACATGGAAGCCACTAGCTAGTGGCTCTTGCACACTTGAATGGAACTGAGGAACTGAATTTTAAATTTTATTCAACTCTTAATTCACGTATAGTTGCTTTACAATATTATAGTTTCAGATGTACTGTGACTCAGTATTTTTACAGATTATACTCCATTATAAGTTATTACAAGATAATGTCTGTAATTCCCTATGCTCTACAAGATGTCCTTGTTGCTTATCTATTTTATATGTGGTGATTTGTAGCTCTTAACCCCCTATCTGTATACTGCCACTTCCCGCTTCTCTAAGCCCTCTGGTAACCACTAGTTTGTTTTCTATATCTGTGAGCCTGTTTCTATTTTACTATATATATTCATTTGTATTTTTTTGATTCCATATAAATTTTATTTATTTAAATTTAAAAAAAAATCAATCAAAAATGGGCAGAGAATCTGAACAGATAGTTTCCCATAGAAGACATACAGATGACCAACAGGTACATAAAAAGTTGCACAAAATCACTAATCATCAGGGAAATACAAGTCAAACCACAATGAGCTATCACCTCACACCTGTTAGAATGGCTATTATCAAAAAGACAAGAATTAACAAGTGTTGGCGAGGATATGGAGAGAGGGAACCCTTAGGCACCGTTGGTGGTAATTACAATTGGTGCAGCCACTATGGAAAATACTGTGGCTGTTCCTCAAAAAATTTAAAGTAGAACTATCATACGATCCAGCAGTTTCACTTCTGGGTGTTTATCCAATGAAAATGAAAACACTAATTTGAAAAGATATGTATACCTATTCATTACACCAGTATTTACAATAGCCAAAACATGGAAACAACCAAAGTGTCACTGCTGGGTGAATAGATAAAGTAAATGTGGTATATCCAATGGGATATTATTTAGTCATAAAAAGAATGAATTTTTGCCATTAGTGACAGCGTGGATGGGCCTAGAGGATATTGCGTGAAGTGAATTCAGAGAAATATAGATACCATATCCTCTCATCTGTGGAATCTAAGGGAAAAAAAAGATAAAACCAACCAAGCTCATACACACAGAGAACAGACTGGTGGCTGCTAGAGGCAGCGAGTTAGGGGTGGGTGAAATGGGTGACAGATGGCAAAAGCTACAAACTTCCACTGATAAGTAACGCATGGAGGTGTAATGTACTGCATGATGATTATAGTTAATAATACTATATTGCATATTTTAAAGTTTTTAAGAGAGTACTTGGTTGTGTGGCTTGTGGGATCCCTGTTCCCTGATCAGGGACTGAACCTGGGCCACAGCAGTGAAAATCCAGAATCCTAATCACTGGGCCACCAGGGAACTCCCAAGACAAAATCTTAAAAGTTCTCATAATAAGAAACGATGTATGTAAGTATGTATGGGGATGGACGTTAACTAGACTTAGTGTAGTAATAATTTCACAGTGTATGTAAATATCAAATCATTATATTGATATGTCTGAAACTAATGTTATATCATTAAAAAAAGATTTAAAGAGCCCCATGCTGCTGGTGACTGCTCTACTGAACAACACAGGTCTAGTGGGAGAGACAGTTATGGAGGCAGGTGACCCAATAATGCAGACCGACTGGGCTGGGAGTAGAGAGGAACGTAACAATGCTTGAGTGGCAAGTAGGGAAAGATGGTTTCCAGGGGTGAAGATCAGGAAAGGCCTTGTCAGGGAGGGGGCCTTTCCGCTAGCTATCAAAGCACTGATGCTGGGAAAGAAGAAGGCGGGAGGAGAAGGGGATGACAGAGGGTGAGATGGTTGCATGGCATCACTGACTCAATGGAAATGAGTTTGAGCGAACTCTGGGAGATGGGGAAGGACAGGGAAACCTGGTGTGCTGCAGTCCATGGGGTCGCAAAGAGTCGGACACGACTGAGCGACTGAACAACAAATTAAAGCACCAGGGACACATCAGCAGGAGTGTGGGGAGGGTAGGCTCATTTCACGTGGAGGCAAGAGGACACAGGAGCCTTGAGAAGTAGACCTCTGCCTGCATCAGGCATCAGGTACCAGACTCTCCACCCCGGGGTAACCAGCCTGAGGAAAGGAAGGTGAGGACAGAACTGTGCAGGGCCTGAGCGCCAGGCTGCAGAGAAGGCGGGGCTTATCCTGTCTGCTTATTGGATGAACTGAGACCCTACATGTTGGGCACAGGGCACTGGGAACATAGCGAACTCCCAATAAACGGCAGCAGTTATCAGCTGTGGGGAGTCGTCGGTGGTGCTTCTGTGTTTCGTTGCTGCTTCTCCAGGTCAATTTGGGAGTATTGCCCTCTGAGCAGTGCAAAGTCTTCTGGTCCACGAATATAGGGTGTTTCTGCATTTATTCAGGTCCTCCTTAATGTACAATGCTGTTTACAGTTTTCAGCATGCAAGCCTTTGTTTCTTTATTGAATTTATTCCTAAGTGTTTTAATGTTATTGTAAATTAAATTATTGCCTTAATTTCACTTTGGGGTTGTTCGTTGCTGGTGTATAGAAACCCAGGTGGGTTTTGAATACTGATCTTAAACACCCCGCAAGCTTGCTGAACGTGGTGATCAGCTCTAATAATTGCTTTTTGTGGATTCCTTAGGGTTTTCTAGATACAGTACTGTGTCACCTGCAAATAGAAATAGTTTTGCTTCTTCCTTCTCTGTATGGTGACTTTTCTTTTTTTTTTCTTACTTAATTGTCCTCCAGACAATGTTGGTGAAAGTGGACATTTCTTTGCTTTGTTCTTGTTATGAGGGGGAATGTCTTTAATCATTAAATAATACTATGTTAGCCTTCCTTCTGTGTCTAAACCTTTTTAAGATTATGTTTACTTTTAAATATCTCATTATACATGGTAACAGAAAACTCAAAACAACACAAAAAGAAAACAAAAACTCCCAAACTCATCACCATCCATTTGCATATGTATGTGTGTGGGAAATATAGTTAACTTTACATAATAAGTACAACCCATCTTGTCACTAGGCTTTGTCTGTTGAATATTCTGTCACAGAATCTGTCCAGGCTTGGGCCCAAAGAGTCACATCGCTATTGTAGAGCTTCCCATGTTCTACTGTAAAGCTTAACCACCTTTTATTTGAGAGACTGCCTCTTGATGGATGCTTGTTTCCCGTTTATTCCCACTATTACAAACAAGAAGGGTGAATATCCACATCATATCCTTCCCAACACTGTGTATTGTCATGTTTTACTTTCCTTTTCATCTTTGTCAGATGATCACTATGGATCTGGGAGTAGAGAATTAGCATAATTACAGTGAGGCTTCAGGAGGCTCACTCTGGCAGTCCCAACTGTCTGTGTGACCTTAGACAAATCCTCTTCCCTCCCTGGGCCTGTTTCTTCATTTGTAAATCGAAGAGATTTACTCTAAAGGACTGGTTAGCCAACCTGACCTTGCCTTGAAATCACCTGGGGAGTTTTAAAAACCATGGACACCAGAGTACCGCAGCCAGTGATTTAATTAGTATGAGGGATAGCCTGGGTTGTAGGATTTTTAAATCTCCCTGAGACTAAACGCTGTGCAGGTCCTTCCTGCTCAGATAGCCCAAAAAGGCTTCCGTGGGGCAGCGGAAAGATCTCTTCCTGGCGTTCAGCAACCCAAGGTTTGACTCCCGGCTCATTGGCTCCTGGCTGCCTGACCTTTCAACTTCTCCGCACTTCCGGCTTCCGGTTGCCCTGCTCTTGGAGTGGGCGGGGCCAGGGAGCTCCTAAAATCCCAGCCCGGCGCTCAGGGTTTCTGCGGGTAGAGATCTAGGTACCTCACAAGTGAGCGAGAAGTGACTGTGTGTGTTTTCTTTCTTTCTGTTTTTAAATCAAAGAGCCAGCCTTTGGGCAACAAAGTGGAAATGGAGATTGTGAGCATGTTGGAAAAAAACGCCACGCTCCTCAAATTCGGCTACCACTTCACCCAGCAGGGACCCCGGCTGCGGGCGTCCAACGCCATGATGAACAACAACGACCTTGGTGAGTAGACCTAAGCCCCCAGCCGCCGCCTGTCATTCTTCGTCCCCGTCGGAGGAGATCTGGCAGGGAACACTCCACTGCCGGTTTGCCCAAGGCAGGCCTCCTCCTGGGCCTGACTCTCGGTTTTCCTGCTAATCCCATATTCTTGTTCTGTGTTTGCGCCTTGCTTCCCCCCACCCGGAACCTCCCCCAGACTGCCAGAGGCCAGGCCCTGCTCCCCGAAGGTAGTTCAGCTCAGCACAGGGCTGCGCCCAGAGCGTACCCGCAGCCTGTTGGCCTGGAGAGTGAAGCGTAGGAGGCCCAGAGCCAACACTGAGTCCCCACCTCTTCCGAATACCTTTTTTGGAGCCCAGAATCCTCTCCAAATCATACAGTCTGGCCCACGCCCCAGATCCCAAAGCCATCAGTCAGCCTTACTACCCACACCTGAAGCCTGGGGAACTTCATGTGGCTTTTAAAGCAAAGGTTGAAAATGTTGACTTCATAGTCAAGTATAACAGGTTACGTTCTCAGTTACAGGCGTAGTTTGTATGTTTTCCTTAAAAAATAAAAGAAAATGTCACAATCTTTCTTAGCCAACAGTGAATAGAAAGACAAGTCAGTTGAAGAAAAAGAGAAATCAGTCACCGACTTAGTTCCAGATGCTAATTGTTCTCAAGCTCAGTGGGTAGTTTCTCCTGTGTTTTCCTGCTGCTTGCTTGAAGAACTCGATAGTGTCCAAAGAGGAGTATGTCTGATGAGGCTATAGGAAAATAAGAGAAAAAACAACAAGAAAAGGAATAGGCCTGTTAACTTAATTGATCATTATATTCAGCTGTGAGTTACCTAGACTCAAAGGTAGGAGGAAGACAAAGCAAGTTATACTATTCTTAGAATAGAAGGAAACAATTTTTTAAAAAGAAGAAAGCTTCTTTCTGAGATTGAATTATGAGCTGTGTTTCTAAAGGATGATGTGTTCAGTGAGTTTTTCATCAGATTTGAACCTGCTCTCAACATGTTTCTTTTTGTTTAGTTTTTGTTTCTGACACTCAGTAGAATGCAAGGAGCTTAATACTAAAGCACATCTCAGAGTTCAGGTTTATCACTTCCTGGTGATGACTCCAAAGTTAGGTTAATACACAGAAGGCCTAGAAGAATGGGGGTGAGTATGTAGGTGTGTATGCACGAGGCAGGTACTCACAGAAGCTGTGCATAGATAGCCACAGAGCTACTCAATTCAACAAACATTTGTCAGAGACCTATAGTGCACTGGGTGTTGAAGGTATAGGTTCATGTTCTTAAGAAGCTATTTATTCATTTCTTACCCCAGTTGTTACTTTTTTCTAGAGCTGCAGGTCTAGAAAAGTCCATCAAACAAAAACCCACACCAGGTGTCCTGGTTTGTGAAGTGTCCTTGTTTGAAATAAAACATGAGCAAACACAAAGCACTAAGAATTATAATTATCATGGTGTAACAGAGGTCACTGTTGTTAAATCACTCAGTTGTGTCTGACCCTTTGCAACCCCATGGACTGCAGCAGGCCAGGCTTCCATGTCCTTCACTGTCTCCTGGAGTTTGCTCAAACTCATGTCCGTGGAGTTGATCCAACTGTCTCCTCCTCTGTCGCCCCCTCCTCAGTGATAGCTACACTGAATTGTTGAGGACGGCTCACAACCTGGCCTCTGTTGGCTCAGTTGTGATCTGGCTGCAGAACCAGCACTAAAAAGCCTTGAGATCTATTCTGATATGCAGTAACCTCACTTTTTTTTTTTTTTTTAAAATCTCTTATGTGTCCCTCGGTCCCTGTCTCAGGGCTGATTGAGCTTTGGTCTTCCAGTGGCAAGATGGCTTGGAGGACTTCTTTCTAGGGTTAGACGTTTCCAGATGAGTCAGGAGTGCTGTAGGGGGGACTCCGGTATCAGCTGGAGGCTAGAGGAAATGGCCCTTGAGGACACTATGTCCTGAGAGTCTGTGTTCCAAAATCCAGGCCCAAGTCCTATCACCAGGGACTTGGTGCGGTCATGGCAGGAGCCTCTCGTGCCTTTGTGGACAGGACTTCACGCTCCTCCTCCCGTTCTCTTCTGGAGGAACTGAGGCCTGGGAGGGACTGCACTTCGAGGCAGTGGCTCGGTCACGTCACATCTTTGTTAGTTCCAGTGTCACACCTTAGTTACAGTGAGCACTTTGTGAGCACCTTTGTGTGCCCAGGGCTGTGCAAGGTGACATAAGCGGTAGCAGAAAGCCAATGGCCTGACTCAGAAACCTTTACAACCTCTTAGGAGAGAAAAAGACTCAAAGTCAGACCCCTAGATTCAGGAAGGCCTGCAAACCATATGCAGACAAAACAAGCAGATAATTTGTGAGGACAGAGGCTAGCTAGGCCATGCCTCCTGGTGGGGCTGGGCCTGAGTCAGCCTCGTGAAGAAGAGAGAGGTTGTGCGGGGGTCGGCAGGAGTTCCTGGTGGGTTGCTGGTGAAGGCAAAGGCAGGGTGATAGGACCCAGCATGCAGGATAGGAGAGACAGGAAGTTCTGAAAGGAAGGAGGAACTGATTCAGGAAGTTGCACCTGCTAGGAGAAGCAGGAGCCCTCCAAGAAGGGAGGGAAGGGCATTCCAAGCAGAAGGAACAGCGTGGGCAAGGGCAAGGGCGATGGCCAGGCACTTGGGGTGCTCGTGGGAATGGGGCTGAGGGGGCAGGGGGAGGCTGAGAGCCACAGGCCTTTCATGCTGAGCTCAGGACTTTGGTGAGGAAAGCCCGCGGGTCGTGGGACAGTGGCGGTTTCCTAGGCGGGAATGAACGGGTATTAAAATGGGTACCCCCGGACCTGTGTGGCAGTTGCCTTGGGTTTTCCCACAGAAGGAATTAGAGCAGAATGATCTAAGTGACTGCCCACAACAGAGTACCAGTTGGTGAAGTAGGATTTTTAGCTTTAAAAGCAAATTGTGCCTGTCTGCTAACTTTTTATGAAAGAAACGCTTCCAATCCTGATGGTGCATCAGTGTCCTCCTCTCAAAGAAATTCTGACTTTCTTTCCAACGTGGCTTTTTCATCCTGCTCCTGGCGCTCTGATGAAGCCGACAAGCTTCCGCATTTCCCAGCTGAACCCGGCTGTCATTAGCGCCCAGCCCCAGCGGTTGCGACTCGGTTGCGACTCGTCCGCTGCTGCAGCCCAGCAGCGGGGGCAAGCTCTAGATGGAAGGGAGCAGGCCTCTCCAGCTTCCTTCTCACTCCGACCAGCCTCTAAGCTGGCTCCTGGCCACGGGCCAGGTCTGCGGGACCGTGGCGTTGCTTGCCTGCAAGGCAGGTGGGCTCCTCCTTGGGAGACATGGGTCCCCAAGGCCGTGGGTCAGCCAGTGGCTCTGCAGACAGGCAGCCTGCCCAGGACCCATCCTGACTGGCGCGTCTTTGGTCCTTCCTGCCTGGGCTCTTAGCAGTGTTCCACGGGAGAGAGCAAGGCGTCAGGAAGGAGCCGAGGGTCCCCATCTCTGCTTTCCCAAGGTGATGGCTCAGCTGACTCCTGTCTCCGCACCATTACAGCTGACAGCCAGCCTGCTGCTCAGGGTCCTGTAACTGCCAGCGGCGCTCTGGCCCGTTGATGAAATCTGAATTACAGCCTCCGGGTTAAGACAGTTCTCCTTTACTGTTTAAGACTCAGTGGACAACTCACCCACCATCCTTGGAAGATTTGACCACTCTGTTCACTGGGCCTCTCATACGGAACGAGATCTACCAGCATACTTGTGATATTTTACCTCATTTCTTGTAGGTTTATCTTTATTATAGGTATAGGTATATACCTTGTATATACCTATATATACCTTGTAGGTATATCTTTATCTGTTGATCTTTATTTCTGATCCTTGTGCTTGGCACATCACAGCACTCAGTCAATGCTGCTGCTTATAAATGTACATAAGATGCGCCACAGAGGCATGATGGAGGTATAAAGCTTGGCAGGAAGTGGTGGAGGGAGCGTAAGATGCTGATGGGGATTGGTCCAGATGACTTGAGATGCTGGAAGGCTCTGACAGTGAAAGTCTCTGGCAGTTGTAATGATAAGCAACACAGAGGAGTTTGCTTTAATGGATGTGAAAAGCAGGTTGATTTGAAGGAACCTGGAAGGCCTGGCTTCTGCTCCCCGTTGTGTCTCTTATTCACTGTGACTTGAGGCAAGATACTTTTCCTCTCTTGGCCTCAATTTTCTTCATTATTAAAATGGGGGGAAATAATGCCGAAGTGGTATCTTTCTTTTCTCCCCATCCAGTTCCTGTAGAAGCCAGTGCCTGGGGAACCCTGTGCATGCTTACTGAGGGCACGTCGGGGGAGACACCACGGGGTCCCTTTCTTATCTCAAGCCACGGACTGGGGCCTCAGGTTCCAGCCCTGGCTCCCTTCTCTTCTCCAGGGGAAAGGAGCTGTCCCCTTGTGAGCCCCAGATGAGACGTGGATGTGGACAGCCTGCATAGACAGGGCCTGATGTGCCGAGGGAGGCGCTGGGCTGAGGCTCGAGACGAGTCGCGGCCTCGGCTCTGTCTGGTGCCAGCTCTGTTGATTTGCTCCCTGCCACGCTTCCCTCACCCATGAGACAGCAGTGGTGACCACACTGACGCCCTGCAGTTGTTGGAGGGGCTCCAGTGAGGCTTGAGTGCAAATGGGGTGTAATGCTTACACAGCTAACGTGGAGATGCTGCCAAGCCTGGTTTGTGTAAACCCTCTCATCACTCTGGGCAAACCTCTTCTGCTCTTTGGGCTTTGGTGGTGGTTCCCCCCACGTCTCCCCCCCAAGCTGTTACACATTCTGATGGTCCCCAGGAATCTGGCCAGACACACTGTCTTCTCTCCGGGAGACGGCCCGCTGATTGGCGTTCATGGCTTTTTCCAGGGAGGTGCAGGGGAGAGGAGCGGCCCAGGCAGAGGCTGAACCCCAGGCCCCAGATGGGCGAACTGCGCGCCCAGGCCTCTCCCGCCGGCTCCTAGCCGCACCCGGAGGCACACACCTTCCCTTGTCTAGCTCGGGAACGGGAAGGTGTCTAAGTACAGACGAACTTCCCCTCTCACAGCAGCATCCCGTCTCCACCACACCTGCAGCCCCCTTGGACGGCTGCCCACTGGCTCTGCAGTCTGCTTTTCTCTTGTAGCCGATGTGGCCTGCTGCTTTGTTTTCATCTGCAGACACTGTTTTGTTTCAAACACTCTCCCTTATCACAACAAAGGGGATCCTTCCCCGTCCCCCCACCATCGCCGCCATCTCGTAAGCTAATGACCCCGCCTGCAGTCCCCTGGCTAATGCTTTCCTCTTTGCGACATTTTAACTCCCTTGCTATGTGAACAGCTTGGACTTGATATTGCCTTGCCTCTGGGAAAATGTCAAGGTTAACCGTAAGGGGGTACAGATAACGCAGAGTAATCTTCAGGGCAGATGCTGTTGTCTACACAGGCAGGCCAGGGACCCGGAGGAAAGGCCGAGGGAAACCTTACCAGCAGGTTCAGATTTCACTAAGATGGACTGAACTTAACCCCTGTCTGACCTGGAGTAAGGCTCGCCAGCCGCGGGGCCTCTGTACACAAAGGCAGAGTTGGATAAAGCGGGTTTTACACCCGTGTGGCCAGCGCTCCACAAGCGCTTTAAGAGCGAACCTACGCCACTTCAGGCCCTCCTGGCAGTGAAGACTCACGCTGTCCTTTAAAAACAAGACTTCAGAGCGCGCTCAGCAAAGCTGTCAGGAAGCTTCCCAGCGCTCTCCGAGCCACCGTGGTGGCTCTGGGACCCAGGGACAGCTGCTCACGTCTCATGTCCATTCCTTTCCAGTGAGGAAGAGGCGGCTGGCAGACCTGACCGGGCCCATCATCCCCAAGTGCCGGAGTGGCGTCTAGCGTGTGCGGGCGCCGACCACGCCTTTGAACTGGACGTGTTCTGCTGATAGGCCGTGCTCTGCGGTGGGAACCGGAGGCAGAGCGCAGCGCAGACCCTGCTGTGGTTCAGTTCTTCATGCACTAAGGTTTTAGGTTAGCTAGTGGTTGTAGCTGAAAACTTTATAAACCATGGTTAATGTGAAGTTTTTCTTTAGTCACAGAAATTCAGTCTGTTTATTATTTAAAAACTAAGAGGTCCCTGAACCGGCAGATCTTACTGAAGACGATGTTAGAGCAGCAGTGACTTAGCCCCGGAAGTCCAGCCTCAGTGACCTAGGAGTGTGGTGTTTCAGGTGTATTTTAAATGTGTAACACGAACAAACAGCACCCTCTTCCACATGGTTGAAAAGCATTACAATTGTTACGAATTTGATCTTAGCTCTTTAACAAACAGGTCATCATTCTTTATTAATTCTCCTTTAAATTTTAAGAACCTCAAGATTAAAGTTGCTAGATTGATTTCTGGGTCAAAAACAGGTTTTTTTTTTTTTTTTTTACCTCAAGAAAGACAAGCCCACAGAGCTCTGCCAGCAATCAAAGAATGATCCTGTTGCTGGTTACCAGGAAATGACAGAAAAAGCCAGTAATGAAAATTCGAATTTTAAAACCATCCTTTTTTAAAAAAACAAAAACTAATTCCAGGCAACAAGCATTTCGCTGGGTGTTCTTTATCAATATCTGGGATTTATTTACAATACTGGAGTCAGAAAGAATTGTTTCCTTACCAAATGCCAACCTTACAATGGATATGAAAACCTATGGCCAAATACTTGAAAACACTCATAATTGCACAGTCAGTAGTGGCCCAATGCCTTATGAGGTAAATCATTATCGAGATGAATTTCCAGTCCATCATGGCTTATGCTTACAGACTTCAGCCACCCCGTCACATCACTTATTAGACAAGTCACCACTGATCTCGCCTGTAAATGAAACCTCTAAAGGGCAATGGTGAAGAAAATCTAGATATTTAAGAATTAGGAAACCTGGCCAAACCACCCAGGATGGTGAATTCTGAAAATGTAATTTTGGCATCTCTGCCAGATCCCTTTTTAACATCACGTGCATCTCCTGGGATCCAGCAAGAATGTTAAGCCACACTGCCCTTGTGCCTTTTACTATGCCACAGTGCCAGTTAAGCTAGTATTTCTGTTGCTTGGGGAGTTATTTTCATGAGTGATTCGGCAAACCTTACAACAAAGGAGAGGCCAAAGAGCAGACGAACACAGACAAAAGCTGCGGAGCACGGAGCGGAGGCTTTTGATGGAAAAAGTCTCGCACACGAACTGTAACGATGTGGGCAGGACAGGGCAACCAGAGACGGAGCCAGGGCCTCCCCTCCACGGAGGGGCGTCTACTGAGGCTGCAGACGGGCCCAGGGCTGGCTCTGTGCTGCAGGCACAGCCAGCCCCGCTCGGCTTCTCCTTGAAACACAACTGCAGCTGTATTCCGCATCACTGGAAACTGCAATATAACATTAAATCTGTTGGTCTATGGATGGCTGTGCATGTGTTTCTTGGGACGTGTGGGCCAGAGGCTGGGAAGCCGCCACGGCAGTGCTCAGCAGCCTCACGCAGGATGCCTTTGTTCTGAGGTGTTTGCCTAAAAACTACAGCCCAGATGTCCGTGTCATCGAGCTCATAATGTGGTTCTCTCAAAGACGCTTAAGAGCTAGTAGTGTGGGTGTTGAGGGAAGCAGAAACTATTACAGGGAAATCTCTCAGAAGACAAACCCATAAAAAATGAAGATGGCCACATCTTTAAGACTATCTCCTCCACCAGATGAGCTGTTCATCTAGACTAGAGGTGGCAAGGTTTTCTTTTTTTTTTTTCTCCTGTAAAGGGCCCGATAGTTCAGGCATACCTTGCTTTACTGTGCTTCACAGATATTTCGGTTTTTACAAATAGGTTTGTGACAACCCCACATTGTCAGATGATAGCATTTTTTAGCAATAAAAAATTCTAATTAGGTGATATACATTGTTTCTTTAGACACAATGCTATTGTACACTTAATATCTACAGCATAATGTAAGCATACCTTTTATATACACTGAGAAACTAAAAAGTTCGTGTAACTCATTTTGATGTGGTGGTTTGGAACTGAATCTGTATCTCCGAGGTACACCTGTAAATACTGTAGGCTTTGCAGGCCATAATGTCTTTCTTGTAAATGCTTATTTCTGTCAAAAATCATATGTAAGTGAATGGCTATGGCTAGTCCAATAAAACTTTACTTACAGAAAGAGGTGGGCCACATGCTGTAGCTGGCAGATCCTGGTGCAGTGCTGAGGCTAGCAGGGAAAAGAGGAGGGCAGGGGTGGATGGTGGATTGACCTAAGAGGCCCAGTTCTGAGAAGCCCACTTCTCGGGCCACCCGGCTTTCATTTCTGCCATCAGGACAGACAGGTTTGCTGGTAAGAAAAATGACTACCGCCAGCCCTGCTGCATGGTGCAGAAGGGGCAGGTCGGGTCACCAGGTTCAAGGCTCTCTCCCTTAGGAACTTTGGGATCCCACGAAGCTCACCTTTTTCTGTGCTCTAGCACCTCTGAGCCAGAATGTCTCTGGTAAGAGGTCAGCACCCAAATTCCTCTTCTCTCCTCTCGTGGAGGACAGGGGCCAACATGGTGGCCATTGACCACGGCGGCTCTGGCGGCCCTGACCTTCCCTGTTTCTGTTAGCGCAGCCCTGACATCCTCCAAACCTAGCTGTGTGAGGGCCTGGGGGATACAGAGGGGGCTGCTCCCATCAACATCCAGCCTGGGCCCCGGGCTGGAGGGCAGAGGCTCCTGCTGCGAGAGGCCCCCGCTGTGAGCGCTCCCTCGGTACCCGTGGCCGTCGGGCGGTACACTCGCATTCCTCTTTAAAGTTGCTCTGGGCTGGGCTTGCAGCCTGTCTGTTCCCCTTGTCTTGACACGTGACACAGCAGGCTGTGCGTCCTCGTTCTTGGCAGGCAGGGCAGGTCAGGACGAGCTGGCGGCACTGGGGCGTGGAGCAGAGCTTGTAGTCATCCCAGGGGACCCCACAGTAGGAACATGCTGGGGAGAAAGCAAAGCCTCGTTATAAACACAAGCACACGTGTGTGTGCACACACCACGCAGACAGGCACACACGTGTGTGTACACACCACGCAGACAGGCACACTGCTGCAGGTCCCAAACCTAGCCCTGTGCTCATCAGCATCTAATGTATCCTTTCAGGCCTGGGGAAGGTTTCTACACAGTGTAAACCTCTTGTCTTCTAACCAGCAAGGTTCCCCCATCCATCCCCACTTTTTTGGGTTAGGTGGCTTCTGGGAATTGTCTTTTGATTTTAGCCTTCATGGACCATTTTTCTTTTCCCCATTTAGAAAACAGGTAGTAATATTTTTCTGTTCCCCAAGCTGGCCAACACCCTTTGTTGGTGTTTTTCCATGACACCATTCCCTTCTGCCCTGAGACACGCCTCGCCTGAATATAGGTGACCGCACGTGGAAATTGTGCAGTCCACACCCATCTCGCCAGGGTACACCCCGCCACACAAGTCCTAAAGCTCATGGATCTACTTTCTCAGCCCCTTTCCCTGCTGACTTCCTATGAGCACTGATAGCATCATCCTTCACGTCTCCTTACCCAGCTTATCTAGGCTACCTTTGGGCCCTCTCTCCCTCCGTTCTTCTCCCTCTAGCGTCATCAGAGATCTGAAGTTGCTTCCAATAAGAGACAAAATAAGACAATTAAAATGAATAAAAAGATTAAGAAGAAAGGGGAGAGGAAATCAAACTCCCATCTTACTTATTACTCAGGTGTTAATTCAATCTCAGTCCCTGGTCAAAGAAGTTCTAAAAAATTCTGACAGTAGGGTTGTCTGCTTATGACCTTTTCCAGTCAAAACAGTGGCATCCAGAAGGAAGATCCATTTTCTTAAAGATTAATTTCATCCTCCTCCTCCTGCCTGCTCTCATCTGGTACCACATGTTATTGTGGACTCCAAACTACAGTCTCGCCACAGGCTTCCTGTAGCCACTCTGCCTCTGGTCCTGGGCTTAGCTCTCGCCCTGGAATGCCCCACCCACCACTCTAAACATGCGTAACACATGTGTCCACACACCATCTAACTAAGGGTTCTTTTATTTGTCCCATGATTTACTTTACAGTCTAGTGAAGACTATTCTTGGAAAAATGTTTTTAAAATGTAGAAAATAAAATACATAGTATCACAAAGGAAACCAACTATACAGAAATACAAAATAACAATATTCTTCAAAGTCTGGGATACAGTATGGTATTTAACACAGAAAATAAGATTTAGTGATGGGCCTAATAACTTTCCATTTTGAATCAATGATGCACATAAATGCTCTTTTGAAATATTCACAGCAGCTGTAATAATGAAAATACTGTGATTTCTACAGATGACAAAGTCACAAGTACATCCAATACACCTGATTTGCTTCTTACATTCATAATTGAAGTGCTATATTTAGTTAGGGGTTATGAAACCAAACATGAAATTATTTTCCAGTCCAGATTCACAGGCCCCCTTAGTACAATATTACCGACTCCAGGTTAAGACCCTAGATTTAGCCTGTTAGTTCAGCTCTTAGCAGGTGGACAGAGTGAGTGAGGTTATTCCCATTTTAAAGGACTTGTCTAACTAGTAAACAATAGAGTCAGATCCCAACCCAGGCCTCCTAACGGTCAGGGCTCTGTCTGCTCCACCACTGCATCGCCGGCTCTAGTGGGAAACGGTGGTGCGGTACAGTCCTTTTCCCTTGCTTTATTCGTCAAGTGATCAGCACTGGCCTGCCTTCCAGAAGGTTGATACAGAGGGTCTGCCTGCTCAGGAGCTCCGGCTCTGAGCCAGTGCCAACCTACCTGACACGATGTCATTGCTGAAAGGCAAGGCATGACGCTCATCGAAAACAAACAACTTCCCTTTGTAAAAACCATCAGGAAACTCCTCCAAGTACTTGTGGATGCCACCCTTGAGCTGGAACACTTCCTTGCACACTCCCTGTGTGTGGAAACACAAGAGGAAATCTGAGGAGACTAGCAGAGACCAATAGGAAGCTCTGCAGAGAAGCAACATGTGGTAGGAATGCCAAAATGGGGCTCCTGGTTCCCCTCGTGGGACATTGCAGAACTGCTGACCAAGGCGGGGCGAGGAACCAGCTGGCCAGGCCTTGCCTGCCAGGGGGATGGCTGAGGACAGCAGTCAGGGCCTTCACACTCTAGATCCTGGGAAGCCCAACTATTTTTGTGGCTCCCTAAATATAGGCAGACACCTGTTGGGACATGTAATGTTACTGAATTTGCTCTTCTCCGGATCAAGCAAAAGGATTAGGAAAAGGGAGATGCCAACTAATCTTTCCCTTTTGTACTTGATTCGTCTCTAAGACTGATGAGTGCTTTTCACATCTTGAGATTTAAGAATTTCAGACTTTATACTTAGAAACTCTATGCTGGAACCATACAAGGGGACAATAAATCCTGCTGGCTGGGGGTGGGAGCTTCCTTCACTTCCAGGCCTGCAGTGCCCTGAGGTTGGTAACTCACCTTGGTTTTCAGGTAGGCTGAAGCCCGCTCACAACGGATGCCCCCAGTGCAATACATTAGCACCCTCTTCTCTTTGAAAAGTTCTAGATTTTCATCAACATAGCTAGGAAAATAACTGAATTTCCTGATGTCTGGGGCTAAGCAGCCCTGGAATCGTCCCTACAATATAGAAGCAGCAGAAATAAAATTATCAGAAAAACGTACCTGGTAAGAACAAAGATTCTTTCTGTGTCAAACACCACTCCCCAGCCCTGCCTTGGCAAGGAAGCACTCGCTTGCTGCCATTTTCATCCCATACTCTGAGCTTTCAAACTTCAAGAGCTAAAACTTAGAAACAAGGCTGGTTGGGCTGTGGTTACCCATTCAGAGGCCCTGGCGAACTGGGAGAGGTTGCCCAAGGCAAACTTCACAAGATCCTGACATGTGTCTAGGGGTAGGCATATGGGAGACAGTTTATCTTGTGCAAGATGTCTTTCAACCGTATTTTTGTAGCCTTCCTCACCAGATTCTGGGTTCCAAGGCTTGGGTTTTCCCTGCTAGCAGCGGGAGGAGAGCCACTGACGGGGCCGCAGGGGAGCCCAGCGCCCCCTCCAGACACAGGCTGTGCTGCGGAGACTCAGCTGGGGTTCCTTACTTACTATTCTGCTTTCATAGAAGTTTCTGCAGTCCAGTAGGACAGTATCACTTTCCTCTTGATTTGCCTGAGACAGAAACTTTTCTACTTCTTTATGAAATTCACCTGGGGATAAATGGATTCCTAAAACCAAACAAGAAATTGGTTAAAAACAAAACCAAATCACACAGGGCCCAGCCCAATGATTTCCACTTGTTCCTCCCCACCTAAACGTTTCCTCTTCATAATTATAATTATGACTGAAAATAATGCTCTCTGATCAGCATAATGACAGAATTTAGCTAATTCCATGTCCTTACTCTCCCTCCTAAGATGAGCGCTGTAGAGACCTGGCAGTTTAGAACTAATTAGTCAAAGAATTCTGCATCCTCATACTTGGCCTCACCCAATGATAAAAGCCAGACTGTAGAGCTGTAAACTGTCATATGGGTTTGCTGGTCCATGTGACGGCCAGTGTTCAGTTCCTGTATATGGAGGGGCCTGGACATGTATACGCTTGCTATAGGCTTTAGAAACTGTTCTATACCAACATGAAGTCCAAGGTCAAGAACCTCAGACAGACAGGTGTGAGCATATGGTTATGGAACAAAGTTTGAGTAAGTCTTTAAAAAATGTAACAGAAAAGAATGTGTCTTAAGTTTGTGTGCGAGAGTAAAAAGAGAAAAGGGGTTGACAGCAGGAATGAAATATGAGAAAGAAGCAAGAGAGAAAAGATGAAAGGCCAGAAGTAGAGAAAGGAGATGAAGTAAAATACAAGGAGACTAAAAGAAAAGAATCTGTCTGCTGGGGCCTTTTGCCTTCTGTACTCTCCAGGGGAGAAATAGTCCTGTACCTTTAGGGGTCCAGACATCTCAGTAGCTTGTGAAGAACTTTCAGTGAATCTGGCAGAGGAGCAACCACACCTCTGGTGCGTCAGTCACCACTCATGATTGATCCCGACAGCCCCCTGAAGCTGCTGGGTACCCAGGTGGGGTTAGAGACCCAGAGCACAACCAGGGAATCTAGATCCCTGCCTGCCCGACCGAGGACTGCAGGGAGAATGTGACAAGGCCGGATTTTATGTGTGATTGTCACATAATTATACAGTCACCAAAACAGTGGGGTGGAAAGGGAGGTTCAAAACTGGGATGGCAAGCATGGAAATCCGCTGAGCCTTGCCCTCACAGGGAGCTGCAGGGAACCCAACCTGTTCCTGCTGCTGCTGTTACTGCGGCTATTCTCCGGGCCCTCTGTGACTCACGTAGACCTGCTTAGAAGAAGTGCCTTCAAACAGCCCAGCTCAGACGAAGGCAGCACAGCACTGCCTGGAGCCCATTCTCCCCTCACCGCCGCGGCGAGGTCCTCCCGCCCAGGTGAAGGCGCTGAGCAGACGGGGCGCTCATACACGGGTCTCCTCCCCCAGATGCTGGTAGCTTACTCCCATTTCCCTCTGGTTCAACTCTTATCCTCCTTTTTAAATATTTACGTATTAAAAAATGAACATAGAGCCAGCCAGGCCTTTCTGTTTCCTGAAGAAACACAATACTACCTATGAAGTAGACTTGGGCGGCGGGGGGGAAAGGAAAGAAAAGAAAAATGGAAATCAAACGTGCATCTCATCAAGTCTGTAGATGTGAGCTGTCTAATATGGCAGCCACTAGCCAACATGTGGCTAACGGGCACTGGAAACGTGGTTTGCAATGTGCTGTGATCAGGGCAACACGTACAGAATTTCAAGGACTTAGTATACCAAGAAAAAAGTAAATATCTCTTTGCTGTTGTTAGGACTTTTCTTTATTTTTGGCAGTGCTGGGTCTGTGTTGCTGCATGGGCGTTTCTCTGGTCGTGGTGAGCAGGCTCCGTGTGGTGGTTTCTGTCGCTGCCCAGCACACGCTCTAGGGCGCGCCGGCTTCGGGAGCCGCGGTCCCCTGGCCCTAGAGCACAGGCTCAGTACTTGCGGCACATGGGCCCAGCTGCCCTGCCGCCAGGCGGGATACCCGTGTCTCCTGCGGTGGCAGGCGGATTCTTCACCACTGAGCCACCAGGGAAGCCCCTAAAATAGCTTCTTAATAAGTTTTCACACTGGTACACGTTGAAATAATATTTTGGCTACACTGCATTAACTAAAGGGTATTATTGAAATTAATTTCACTTGTTTCCTTTTACTTTTTAAAATGAGGCTACTGGAAATGTAGAATCCCATCATGGCACACATAATATTCCTGTTAGACGGCACCACCGGAAGTGTGACCAGAACTCAGAGCAAACACAGAAGACAGAGGAACAGTACGTGGAGATGCAATCAGCATCATCCTGACTGTGGGAAATACTACGAGCAAAATTTTCTAATTCCTTCAAAAAATAAACTGCATGGGAAAATAAAAGATGGAGGCTCTAGGTTACAAGGGACTTAAAAGGCTCAATCACAATGAGTAGACCTTACTTGAATCCAGATAGAAACAAACTTTAAAAATTATGAGATAACTGGGAATTTTAAGCCCTGGCTGGATATTCAATAATATTAAATAATTACTATTAAAATGTTTTGGATATGATGGTTTTATAATTATTTATTTTTTAAAAATCCTTTTAGTTTTTAGCAATATCTACTAAAGTAGGAATGAAATGACATGACATCAGGATTCTCTTCTAAATAATTTAGGTTGGGGGAAGGGAGTGGGGATTGATGAAAGTTGGCCTTGAATCTGTAATTGTTGAAGCTACAGGATAGGAACATGGGCATTCACTGTAATATTTTTTCTACTTTTTAAAATGTTTGAAATTTTTCATAGTAAAAAGTAAAACAAAACCAAAAACCCCAGCCAAACAAATGTCTTTCAACCACCTATGGTACCCATGAGTGAGGGGGGAAAGAGAACATTCTAGAGCACTTGCAAACAAACTGCTTTTGTGTTGAAAGCTGCTTGCTTCCTGTAGCAAAAAGTCTGTGTGTCTTATCCATTTGATGAACTATTTACAAGTAATAATTATACTCTTCCCAAATTGCTATCTTTGGAAAGAGAAAACAACTTCTTTCCAAACCATCACCAAGAATACTAAGCCAGGTCATTCTAAGCAGTGAGTCTCCAATCACCAGAGCACCAGAGAGAAGGGCCAGCCTGAGCATTGAATGACCCGCGTGTCAGCCACCCCACAGCTGTTCCGAGGAGGGAATTCGTCACAACCCTTGCTGATCAGAATGTCTAGCTTTCACATTTATCTCTATATTAAGATTTGTCCCTATGAAGAAAAGGAAAAAGTTTCTTCTTAAAGCAAGCATACCAGGCTTCTTATAGGAGACCTTATTGGGACTGATCCCCATGGGCACAATTTCTTCAAACACACCAACACGCAATTCTGGAAAACAGCAAGCTCCTCCTTTGCTGGTCTAGCCAATGAGAAACAAAACAGAATACAGTCTTTCTTTCCCATCTCCAGGTATAAGATATTTATTAAGTTGAATTATCTGGAACATTCTATGCTCTAACTCCCTTCTCCCACTGGAAGAGCTGTTCCTAACTTGGGGTTTCTTAATACTTCAGCTACCCTATTATTACACAACAGATGTAATCTTATATTTGGCACTTCTTTATTGCGTATCTACCATGTGTAGAAATGTCAAGTTGAAAAGGTGTTTCTATAGCAATAAGCATTTAACTATAAAACTGAAACACCACTGAGCAAATTCTATATGTAAGACTGCATCCAAGCTTTTGTTCAGGAGTCACAACCTTTTCTTTTCATATCATCACCACCAGCACGAACACTAGCAAGGTACTTCCCACCACCTCTGTCACCCATGACACTAAAGCATAAAGTCACTCCAATAGAAAGCCTCTCCTTCAGAAAGCAACAGCGACATTCCCGCTGCGGTGTGTGCTGGTCTGATCCCACCAGGTTTACTAAACACGCAGTGATCCCCTGAAACAGGTGGTGTCTCACGGGAGCAGACATGGCTAAGTTTGAGTTTAGCGGGTGTAAGCTGTAACGTCCGTATTCTATATAAAAAGGCCCGTGACCCCGTTCTGGCAACTTGGAAGATGAATTGGAAGGAGCACACTCTTTCCATGAGCTGCCTCAAGACCCAGAGGGGAAGTGGTTTTCTGTCCGGCACCGCTGCTGCTTTATGGTGATCTGCATAGCCTGGAGTGGGAAGAGGCACTGAAGCAGAAGCAGATGGCTCTCAAACCATTTTATTTTCAATCTCTCTTACCTTAAAATCATCCTTACAGAGGTAATCCTTAAACAGTGGGCAGGAAAGCATGGTGCTGACATAGAGTCTGGTGGCTAGTCTGCTCCCACCAACAGTCCCGTTGATTCCTTCCGTAGCAATTCGAACCTGAGACACAAAACAGGAGAAAGGGAATGCAGCCGTCCGCGTTGCTCTTTGTTCTGGTTGGCAAGTTGTGTCTGACTCTTTGTGACCCCGTGGCCCACCAGACTCTCCGTCCATGGGATTTCCCAGGCAAGAATACTGGAGTGGGTTGCCAAGCCCTCCTCCAGGGGATCTTCCCAACCCTGGGATAAAACCTGCGTCTCCTGCGTTGGTAGGCAGACTGTTTACCGCTGAGCCACCGGGGAAGCCCGTATTTGCAGCTCAGTTCCGATCTCTGCAGGGCAGAACAGGCTCATGTGTACTGATGAACTTAAGAGGAAAAGCAGAAACGCAGCTGTGGACACAGCAGAGTGTTACCACACAAAGATGCCTATAGTTTTCTGAAATGGCACTGCCCACAGTTCAGTAGAGGTGCTCAGTTAACATGCTGCTGAACCAGAGAATAAAATGGATAAAACAACGGAAAGCCCCATTTGCTATGATGTTCTAGCTGTCCAGTGGCCAAAGCTTAACCTACATTCAGGGCAGCAGATCCAGAATCAGGATTCAACTTTGCCACTTAAATTGCCAAGTGGCCCTGAGAAAATTCTCTTTTCTGAACCTCAATTTCTTCATCTTGATAAGAGATGAAAAAGAACCAATAATGAAAAACTGCTGAGGAGATATTCCTCAAGTCCTAAAGCACAGAGCACATCTTGGGGCCGGGCATGCACGCGAGCATTCTCTGCATGGTTTGGGGGTGGGGGGCGGGGGGCAGGTAGGCCCACCACTGCAAACCCACCTACTGGGAGGAGCTTGCGTCTGTTTTAGTCTTTGTTGCACACTCAGGGTCTACAGTAGTACCTGCCCACAGTAGACATTTGATATGTATTTGCTGAGCAAATGAGTGAGTATCCAAACCTGAGGCTTTCTGGCTTCTCAAACCCTCTGTTCTCTTTGAAATGCTTCACTGGTTGGGGGACATTAAAGCCTGGATTAAGGCCCCCACCCTAGGAGGCAATGCTCTGGGGGGCCTGCAAAGTTAGTTGTTCCGGTACCACAAAACCCTTCTGATAAGTTTAAAGATGGATCATCTTTAGAAGAGCTCCTTTCTAAAGTTAGAAAGTGCAACATTGTGTATCATGGTATTCTCTGGAAAGAGAAGTAACTTAGAGTGGAAGTTCTGTATTATTACATTGTTACTTATATAACAATTATAACAATGATACCTACCAGTGCCTTAGAATTTGAAAACTTTTAAAGGCTCCCCTTTGATTAGGGCCTAGAGAAGGTACTTGTTTGTCACCTCACTTGGCTCAATTCTTTAGAGCATGAATGGGATTCATTTCACAAGCCTGGGCCTACTCACTAGCAGTAGCTCTCCAGAGTACCATGATTCTGAGTCACATCCAGACTCCTTGAGAAAGAGATGCAGTCTAGTGAGCCTGATCTGGGCTGACAGAGGGAAGCAGGAAGCATATGCCATCTCTGCTGTAAAGGTTTCTGCACCTATTACCAACTAATTTTTTTAAGGGAAAACATAGAAAAATAGAGCTGAGCCAGCACTAACTGGAAATCTACCCTAAAACCATCTCTGACAGGGGCAAATATGATGAAGAGGTACAGGCTCCTATGTAACTGTCTTTTGGGTAAGCCAGAAGACTCTTTCCTATGTTATTTTAATCCCAGAACCCAAATAAAATATAAGTATGTGCACTCCCTGAATACTGAGGATGGGCAACCTCTAAAATCCATGCATTAGACCTTCAACTCCTGTTCAAGTATTCCTCAACTGAAACCTTCAAAGCAGCTGCTAGGTGAGGAAAGCCTTATACCTCAGAGACGAAGAGCAACAGTTAGCATTTAATGAGCACCTTTATATTATAAAGTTCCTGTCTTTATATTATAATCCTGAAAGGTAGATATCATAATTCCCACTTGACAGTAAAGGAAACAGAAGCTTAGAGAAATCAAGTAATTTACCCAAGGGCACAGAGTTGGGAGATGGTGGATCTAGGATTCAAAACCAGGTCTTTTGAGGTCCATCTCTTATAATTTTCCTTTCTAAAGCCTCTAATGCATCTGCTCAAATTTCTTGAGGCAGTAAGAAGTATACAGCAAGGGGTCAGAAGCTTCTTTCCATAATTCTAGAATTTTCAAGTTCTCCCCTTTCCCCACAAATGCCAACATTCTTCCAAATCTCCTACCAACAAGAAACTTGAGAACTCGGTGCGTTTCCCGGAAGCCTTAGGATTTAACCGGAGAGCCAGGCACGTGCTGCCACCTTGTGGGTAGAGACCCTCACTGCCAGCTCACCTTGCCCCAAACTAGAGATGAGTGCCTGTTTTGTGCACTCAGTCAGGTTTACGTTCCATTTTTCAAGATGTTCTCTAAATACAGATGATGATATATGTATATAAGCCACAAATGTTCATTTTTTTTTAAACAATGCACCAGAAATTTTTCCAGGAATTGTGGACATAGTGATTAAAAAATACATAGTTTTGCCCTTTGGGAACTTACAAACTAAGGAAGGTCACAGATATTAAGATAAAAGTCACAAACTGACAAGTGCTATGAAAAATAACTGCAAGATGCAGTGAAATAGTATATCTGGAAAACTGAATTTAGATTAAAGGTCTGGAAAGATGTCTTTGACAAAGTGTCATTAAAACTGAGAAGTGGAGACTGAGTAACAATCAGGAGAAATGAGTGGGTGTGGGAAAGCTCCTTGAAGAAAGTTTTCTTGTAAAAAGGCCCAAAGGCAGCAAAAAAAAATTTGTGGGCTCCAAGAAACTGAAAGGCTATTTTGCTGGAGAGAAGGAAATGGCAACCCACTCCAGTACTCTTGCCTGGAGAATCCCAGGGAGGGAGGAGCCTGGTGGGCTACTGCCCACAGGGCCGCACAGAGTCGACACGACTGAAGCGACTCAGCAGCAGCAGCAGCAATGAGTGAAGAATGGCATCAGAGAAGCAGAAAAGGTGGAAGGGGCCAAGGTATGCAGGAAACTTAACGGCACACTAAGGATCTGGGTTTTACTCTAAATACACTGCAGAGACACTGAAAGAGTGTGAGGAGGGAGGGAGAGGATTCATTTACTCTTTAAGATCCTTCTGGTTGCTGTGTAGAAAGTGATTAAATGGGGGCAAAGGTGGAAGAATGGAGTGTAGTCCAGAAGCTACTGAAATGAATGAGGTAAGAGAGGGTGGGGCTAGTCTCAGGTAGAAATGGAGGCTCAAAGGACATGTCAGAGGCAGAAATGTCAGAGCCTGGTGACGACGTGATGAGGCAGATGCAGCTTCCAGTCACTGTCTGCGAGAAAACATGGTGTGAAAAATGTCTCTGGGCAAGTGACTGCCTCAGGGAATAAAAGCCTGGGATAAGGGTAGGAAAGGTCAGTGTCACAACCAGAGGATACACACACACACACACACACACACATATATATGTAATTATCAAAGATTTTTTTTTAATTAATAATCCTATCATGTAGAGATAATCATGACTTAACATTTTGATATTTACTACTTGTCATCTTTTTACACACATGCTTGTGGTTTTGTTACAAACATTCATTTTTTATTCGACCTTCTCCAAATATCTACTGTCTGCTATATTCAAAGCCCTGTTCTAGCACTGACAGTACATCAATCGATTAAGACGCAGTTCTTGTCCTCTTGAATTCAAGAGAGAAAGGAAATAAAACCATAAAATGGTAAAGGACTGACATGTTCTAGGAAAATTAAGCAGCAACTTGGTATCACACCTGTATGTACAGTTCTATAAAACATTTTTCCAGTTGAAATGAAGTGAAAGTCGCTCAGTCATGTCTGACTCCTTGAGGCCCCATGGACTATACAGTCCATGGAATTCTCCAGGCCAGAATACTGGAGTGGGTAGCCTTTCCCTTCTTTAGGGGATCTTCCCAAGCCAGGAATCGAACCAGGGTCTCCTGCATTGCAGGTGGATTCTTTACCAGCTGAGCCACCAGGCAAAGAATCAGAACACAGTGCCCACTTTACGCAGTTTTACTGGGACACGTGCTGCGCTTAGTCACTCAGGCGGGTCCGGCTCTTCCTGACCCCACGGACTGCAGCCCACCAGGCTCCTCTGTCCATGGGATTCTACAGGCAAGAATACTGGAGTGGGTTGCCATTTCTTTCTCCAGTTATCTTCCCAATCCAGAGATGGAACCCAGGTCTCCCACACTGTAGGCAGACTCTTTACTGAACCACTAGGGAAAGCCCTGGCCATACCCATTCTTTCACATATTGGCTATGGCTGTTTTCATGTGAAAATGCCAAGGTTGAGTAGCTTTGTGCAAAGTCTAAAGGATTTACTATGTGGCTCTGTAGCTGGCCGATCCTCGGTCTGTCTTTTATATAGTCCTATAAAACACCATTCTCCTTCTCACTGAAGTGCAGCTGATTTACCGCGCTGCACGAGGTTCCACCGTGCAGCAGACTGACTCAGTCACGCGAGACACTCCACATTCTTCCCCACTGTGGTTCACCACAGCGTCCTGCCTGCAGCTCTCTGTGCCTCGCTGGAGGACTCGGTCACTCACCCATCCCGGGTGTAACAGCTTACGTCCGCTAACCCCAGCCTCGCACTCCATCCCTCCCGCAGCCTCTCCCCGCTGGCGACCACGAGTGGTCTCTACGTCCATGAGTCTGTGTCTGTTTCATAGGGAGGTCCATTTATATCATATTTTATTTGCCACATATGAGTGATATCACACGGTACTTATCTTTGTTTGACTTCATTGACTGTAATAATTTCTAGTTGTATCCATGTAGATGCAAATAGCATTATTTCATTCTTTTTTTAATGTCTGAGTCGTATCTCCGTACATGTATATGTATCACATCTTCATCCATCCGTCTGCTGATGGCTATTGTGAATAGTGCTGCTATGAATATAAGGGTTCATGTATCTTTTTGGATTAGTTTTGTCTGGATATATATTATTGTAAGGAATGGGACTGCTAGATCATATGGTAATTCTGTTTTTAGTTTTATGAAGAATCTCCACACTGTTTCCCACAGTGGCTGTACCAACTTATATTCCCACCAACAGAAAACATCATGTTAATAGCTATTTAGTATTCTATTTAAATGCTTAGCAGGATTTCGCTAATTTCTAAGAACCCAACTGGTGAACCCTTTTTGTAACAAGCAAACCAAGGAGGAGGTGAGATAAACCCTGTGAAGGATAAGTGATAAGGGAGACAGTGTTACCTTGCCCGTGAGATGCAGGTGCTGACACAGAGCTGTCTGCCAGTCACAGACCCAGTCAGGATCCTTCAGGTCACAGTAGCAGTAATAAAGTAGCACCTCCCCTTCATCATTGCCCTGGCCACTATAAAAAGAAAACCATGCGGAAAGAGCAATTGAGTCAGACATGAAAAGGCTACATTCATAAAGTAGATTCAGACTGTCAAGAGGGAAGGCCTAATGGAGTGACTCATGCCTGCCCTGGCTCCTAAGTATCATTCTCCTCCTGGATTGAGAAGCGACTCTGGTCTGTATTTGCTCTAAAGGAGACAATACCTGCACCAAACCCCTTCCTTTCTAAAAAGTGAGCTAATACTTTGATTTCCTTGTTTAATCATCATATCCCTGAAACAGATATTAATAACCCCTTTTTAAATTTGAGTCCATTCTGGCTTATCCTCTAAGAAAAGGCAGTATCTGTTTTAAATCTCTCTGTACAAAAAGGTTTAACTTTCCTTTTTTCATGTAATCCTCTTGCCCATGAGACAGGTTGTTATCATCCCCATTTTATAGCTCAGTGGTCTAAGCCCAGTTCATCCGGCATGACAGTCAGGACTGGAACACCAGTCTTCCGACACGAGACTCCACACTCTTCCCACTGCACTGTGCTGACTTTGACTGACTAGTCACGGGCCCTGGGTGGGTGTCTGATCCCTGAGCCTGGATTTGCTCAAGTGTAAAACCCGGGGGCCAACACCAACTGCCTCTCTCACAGCTTGCTCTGCGGCTGCTCCACGAAATCGCCCGTCTGAGAAACCCTGCAGACAGCATCTCCCTCTGTGAGAGTCACAGTGAAGGCCCCTCGTATACTGAAGGCTCTGGGAAGCTCTGCAAAAAAACATTTTAACCTCATGTTTCCCCAATTTAATTGTCTTTAGCACCTCTTTCCAATACCTGAGAGCGCCCTCCAGAGCTAGTGCTGTAGAGACATTTTAGAGAATGCTGTCATAGATGGTAATCCAGGTCCCATCCAGCTCTGAACTCTGTGACATTCTCATCAGTGCTCTCTTATTTCAGGGCCTCATCTCCTCTAACACCTGCTTGTCTATCAGTGTATCTGTTTTCCTCTCTCTAAATTCCTGCAACAAATTACCATCTGAGCCACACAGTTTTAAGTGATAATTGCATAGCTTGTCTTATACCATCTGCTAAATGTTTTGTGTATCCTTTTTCTTTGTTTTTCTAACTAAAAAGCAGCTCCATACAGAAATGAAGAGATCACATTTGTATAGCACTTTACAGGTCACGTGAGCCCTTACCATCATCACTTTATCTAATTCTTAGAGCAGTTCTGTGAGGTAGCAGAGCAGACATTATTTCCAGTTTTAGAGTTGACGATATAAAGGTATGAAGAATTTAGTGACTAGCTCAAGTCTAACTCCAAGTTCAGTTCTCTTTCTTTCTCTTCTTTCTGATAAGCAAAAGGAACTGGCATCAAGACCAGAGACAAAAGTGTATCAAATGTGGGCCTTTTCTATTCACTGAATAGCTTAGGAATTCCTTAAAGTCAGAAATCTGTCCTCTACAATTACATAATATTATGATGCGGTAAGGTTTTCAAAGGCAGATCTAAACTTCTAACCCTATGCCTTAGTTCTAAAAGTTGACTTACTTTCTTAAAACATATTCAGCTCAGAAAACCACATATGGTAATAAAAACCCCTTTCTAAGCTGACACTTCAGGGCAGAGGAATCATGAACATCTCTGGGCCTTCCGACTTCTCTTTGGAAATAACATTTTCTGTTCTTTACCTCTCCCTGGAGAAGTAAAGACACAGGATGGCTTCCAAGATACCGAGAGTGCACTGCCAGCTGCCCAGGCCGTGGTCTTCTGTTACACACAGAACATGTTTACTGGCCTAGCTTAGGCAGTAGAGAAATTCCGTGCCTTAAGGATCTGCCATTTTAGTGGATGGGTGGTATCTCATTCCAACTGGAAAAACATGTTTCAATGAAACAAAAGGTACAGAATGACATTCTTACCTTATCAGCTCATCAGGGCTGAAGCAGCTTGTATCCGGGAGCCAAGCAGACACTTCTTGGTCATGGGTGAGGTCATCTTTGAAAGGGTTCCCATTGTCTGCAGACTCGGGACTCGTGGAGGTGCTCGATGTCGCAGTCAGCTGCTTTAAAACAGCAGCAGTCTCATGGCAAATCTCATCAGCATGTTGCGTTGCCACATGTCTGTGGATGCTGGTCGGGTCTGTAAATAGTTGCTGACAGCATTTCCACCATTTTTCTTTACATTCACAAGGAGGTGCTGGAACTTCTTTAGTTTTAACGAAAATGGCAAATGCCTGCAATTACATTTCAAATATGTCACTAGTAAATAACCTTAGGTTTTAGGTTAAAATGAAAGTCTCAGTGAAATTTTTTCCATTGGGGTTTCTAGTTTTAGGTCCTACAATTCTGCAGAACTTCCTGAGAGACTGAACTTCCTCTAAAAAGGAAATAGTCAAAATAAATTATGGAATATACTTACTATGGAATATTAAGCAGCTAGTTTCAAACTACATGGGAAAATATCTATGGTATAATGTTAAATGGGAAAAAATGAATAAAATTCACTTATATCATGTAATCTCAATTACATAAGAAGCACATTGAGGGGCCTCCTGGTGGCCCAGTGGTTGAGAATCCACCTTCCAGGGCAGGGAATGCTGGTCTGACCCTCGGTCCAGGTACTGAGGCGCCACGTGCCGTGGAACAACTGGGCCCACTGAGCCTGCGCGCTGGAGCCACAGAGGAAACCCCGCACGTCCCAGCTGAGGTCCCACGCAGCCAAAGAAATACATTGTTTTTAAGTATATTGAAAAGCATGGAAAGAAATGTACCAAATGTTTTGATTTGGTTTTTGGAAGATAACTTTATTGTTATTATAAAGAGGATTTAGGCGAATTGTTAAAAAAAATTAAATGGAAGAGAAAATGATAGATGTACCATAATTCTTTTAACCAATTCTAAGTGAATGAGCTTTTTTGGTTTCCTATATTTGTAATTATAAGCAACGGTGAATGAGCATGTCAGCATACATCTTTCTATACTTCTTTAACCAACTACTTAGAATAAATATTTAGAAGAAAATTTTGGAGGTGAAGAAGCATAAATTTTAAACTCTGATTAAGTAGTGACTACCTGAAAAATCATTACCAATTTATACATTCAGCAGCAATGCATGAGGATTCCATTTTATCTACACCATTTTAGCAGTATTAAATTTTTTGTAGTCAGTATTTTCAACTTTGACCCAAATAAAAAGCAAAATAAATACCCTGTTTTTATTATCGCCCACTAAATAAAATGGCATTCTTGAATACACACTGATACAAATAAATTGGGAGCAAAGAAAGCTCTTCCTTACAGAAGACTGCCAAGTAAGAAATACAGAAGGAATGAAGCAATGAGAAAGTCACCATTTAGAAATCATCACAGTAATAATCAACTGAAGCAAAGAAACACCAATGGATCTAAAACTAGTAGATGAAAGTTCATTGTGAAATAGACTATTTACATAGTCTCAAACTATTTTCCCTGAAATACTGAATAACTAAAAGGGAAAAAAGAACAATTTTAAAGCAAAGAAACCTGACAAGGCACTTCCTTAATCGGGTACCCAAAGTTAACATCGCCAGTGACAGGGCAGATTGGCACATGACCGCCTGATAGAATGCAGCCGGATGAACAGTGTCTCTCACGGGGCAGTCTGGTGAACAAAAACCATCACTTGAATCTAATCACAAGGAAACATGAGTGAAAAGTCATGAGAGACATCCTACACGTAACTCAACTGTCACCTTCTAAAAAGTCACGGTCATGATTTCAAGGGAAGAAAATGAGAAAGTGGTCCAGATTGAAGACTTTTGAGACATAACAACTGAACATGTGGCCTTCGAGTGGATCTGTAAAAGCCCTTTGAAACGACTGAGGAAACATGGATGGAGCCGCTGGGCAAAGGGGGCCTCCGGGGAATTCTGGCAGCCTCTCTGTACGTTTGAAATTATTGCAAAACAACAGCAAAACGTCTGTATCCTTTGGGTTTCATCTTCAAGGAAATCTGTGTGGGATGCGGGCAGAAGGGTGGCGTATAGAACTTATGAGAAGAGACATCTATTCTTCATGGACGTGGAGCCAAAATAAGATGATTTTGCAAGAGAAACAAAAGCCTGGATAAGAATTAAGTCTCAACTCTGTGTCTTCAGTCAAGTCATTTCCCTTTGAGCTTCAGCAGGAGAAGAAAGGTTTAGTCAGTGATCCCTGAAAAAAGCATAAATGGCCCAGAACAGCATCCATATTACCACACTGTAACCCAATTCTTGGTAAATTTGCAGCATTCCGAGCCACTCTGTTCCTTCTCCTAACCAACCTAGCCCTGCCAGCTGGACCAGAGCAGGAGTCTCAGACAGCAGCTGCCCTAACACCTGTCTGTTCTCCTATGACTAAGGCTCCTGGGATTCTTCCCATAACCCCAGGTGGGAAAAGGGGTTGAACGTGAACATGGCAGCAGCCTGGTGTCTCACCAGTGCTCCACTCCCTGGAGGACAACCTTGATGAGTTACTTCTAAATATATCTACATTAACTGTACCTACATGATCCTGAAACATCAACAGCAATTTTACCTTTTTCTTTGCAAATGAGTATTTCTTCTTTGTACTGACATCTAACTCTGCTTTGAGACTGCTACTGGGATTGATAAGACACGTGTCTTTCAAATCCAAGTCTGAAAACCTTAAAACACAGGCCTCCGGGTCATCATCTCCTTGGTCTGGTGAAGTGGAAGAAGGCATCTGGTTTGGCTCCAGCCGTAGAGTAGGTTCCTTTCTGGTATCACCTAGGAAGTAAGCAAGGGAAAAAAAACAACGTCCAAGTCTTTGATTACTTGTTGAAGTAAATCAGTCATGCAGATGAGCATTGCCCAGTAGCCCAAGCTATCCATTCATTCACTTTCATCCAAGAGATATTTATTTAGCACCAACTCTATGCCCTGCACTGTTCTAAGTCCTGGAGATGTAGTAGTGAAAGAAACAGAGGAAGTCTCTTCTTTCTTAGAGCTTACTTTCCAGTGGGGAGAGAGAGGAGGTAAACAAATGAATTAAACTGCTTTTTTTAAAAAAAAAAAAAAGTCAGATGGTAGAAAGGGCAGCCATGCCAACATTTAGGGGAAAACATACCAAAAAAAAAAAAAGTACCAGGTGCAACCAAAATCAATCAAGCTGTGTGTTAGTACCTTTAATTCAGAGAAGGCAATGGCACCCCACTCCAGTGCTCTTGCCTGGAAAACCCCGTGGACGGAGGAGCCTGGTGGGCTACAGTCCATGGGGTCACTAGAGTTGGGACACGACTGAGCGACTTCACTTTCACTTCTCACTTTCATGCATTGGAGAAGGAAATGGCAACCCACTCCAGTGTTCTTGCCTGGAGTATCCCAGGGACAGGGGAGCCTGGTGGGCTGCCGTCTATGGGGTCGCACAGAGTCGGACACGACTGAACCGTCTTAGCAGCAGTATCTTTAATTATAAATACTTTTCTCTTTTGTCCCCTAGTTTTTGAGCTGGTCAAATTCCCTTCCTTAGAAGAAATAACTATCTAGAGAGCCTCATTTTATGAGTCAAACTTATACTTTGTATCGCTCAGTCGCCTCCAACTCTCTGCAACCCCATGGACTATACAGTCCATGTAATTCTCCAGGCCAGAATACTGGAGTGGGTAGCCGTTCCCTTCTTCAGGGGATCTTCCCAACCTAGGGATGGAACCCAGGTCTCCTGCATTGCAGGCAGATTCTTTACCAGCTGGGCTACCAGGGAAGCTGAAAGAAATGAGCCAAAAGAAATATACAAACTGCTACAATGGCCAACTCTTATCAAAAGGAACACAGCACACCAACAGGATGCATTCATTTGTAAAGCAAATGTTACAAGTGATAAATGTGAAGAGTAACAAGAAAGACTAGGGAAAGGATGGGCTTTGGCTTGTGGTGCAGCTGGGTGCAAGTAAGTGAACCTGGGCAGGATATTTACCTTCTCTGAGTTCTAATTCCCAAAAGCATAAATTGGGGATGACAGTATCTACCCTGCAGGGCTGTGGGGAGGGCTCGGAAGCTGTTCAGATGCAACTGTTAAAACCAAATTCTTGCTCTTCCTCAGTCTTCCTTACCTCAGTAAACAACAATTCTATTCTTCCTGTTACTCAGACAAAAACTTGGGGACTCATTTCCTTATTGTTTCAGGTGACTGAAAAGCTTATCAACTCTGCTTTTGAAATACAGTCACATCAGACCACAGTGCACCGCCTTCACTGCCAGCCTCCTTCAAGCCATCATTTGACTGAATTACTTCAGTTGCCCAGCTGCCCTGTTCCTGTAGAAGCCAGAGGTAACTTTTTAAAAATTTTTATGTATTTACTTTACTTTTAGGTGCTAGGTCTTTGTTGCCGCATACAAACTTTCTCTAGCTGTGGTGCAGGGGCTTCTCCTTGTGGTGGCCTCTCTTGTTGTGGAGCATAGGCTCGAAGACCCCAGGCTTCAGTAGTTGTGGCTTGCCGGGCTCTAGATCTCAGAGCTCAGCAAACTTACGCAGGATTTAGCTGCCCCACACGGCATATGAGATCTTCCCGGACCAGGGATGGAACCCGTGTCCCCTCAGTGGCAGGTGGATTCTTAACCACTGGATCACCAGGGAAGTCTCAGAGGTAACTATTAAAAAATAAGTCAGATCACCCTCCAAAAGCTTCTAAATGTACCAGGATAAAGTCCAAGGTCCTTACAAAGCCCCATCCACCACCTCCCTAATCGCATCTTCTCCCACTTTTACTCACTACCTGATTGCATTGTTTGCTGGTTCCTGAATGAGTTGTCACCACTAAGAAAGCAGGAGTTTTCTTTTGTTCACCTCTGCATCCAGAACACTGCCTGGCACATGACATACAATATATTTGTCGAATGAAGGAAGAGTGATTGGGTGGCCAGGGAAGACCTCACTAAGGGCCCGATGTTTGAACTGAGACAAGGGGCCATCCATGCAGATTTAGGAGCAGAGATCTTCAGGCAAAGGAGACAGTATAAATCCCTCAAGCGGTCAACAGCTTGACTTACTGCAGGTGCAGAAGTCAGTGGCTGGAATGCAGTGATGAGAGTAAAACCCTGTAGAAGAGGCTATGGCGTTTACAATAGAAAGTCACCGGAGAGCTGGAAACAGGAGTACCGTGATCTGACTCCAATCTCTTCTGAAGGCAGAGCCGGCAGCGTTTACCGGTAGAATGTTCTTCAGGAATTGAAGGAAAAGAACTTCAGAATGACTCCACGTTTTTGGATTAAGCAGTAGAATGGATGGTGCCGTTTACTGAAATGGGTAAGACTGAAGGAAGAACAGATTAGGCCAAGAGAGTGAAACAAAAGTTCCATTGCAGACGTGTGAAAATTTCATATGGCTAAGGACACGGCCGTGAGCAGCTGTAGCGCTCACCAGAGATGTCAGAGCGAGGGATATTCAAATACACGTATGGAGGTACCCGATAACTATTGAAAAGGTTACTGAAGCAATCACTCGTTCCTTCAGAGGAGCGAGAGATCAGATGACGGCCAGAGAGTAACCCTGGAGTAGCTGGCTCAGTAGGAGGGTCCTTCTGTCCCCGGGTCGTTGGAGCCGCCTCCCACCCCGGCCTCTCCCCGCGCACCGGGCTTGGCCTAATCTCTCCGCCCAGCTTTCCCCAGCCGGCAAAGGCCGGGAAGTGGGAGAAAGATGAGCACGTACCCGCCCGTCCTGATCCTTTCTCAGATCTTTCTTCACCGAGCGGTCTCCGCCTAGCAATTGCCGCCGCTCGCAGCCCTCGCGCTCCCAGCCCCGCCTGTGTTTAGGAAGGAACGCCGTCCCGCACCTCGCTCCGGAAGTCAGGTAGTTGGCGAAAGGGCCGCCGGGAAAACCCCCAGGAGGCCCCGAGAGAGGGGCTGAACTGGAGGCCAAGACGAGAGGGTCCCCCCAGACTACCCGCCTCCGGGCGTGGCTCGCGGCCTGCGGGCTCGGCCCGGCGGAAGAGGCGGTGCTCTCCGCGTGGCCCCGGAAGGGCTTTCCGCGAAGGCGGGCGAAGGAAGCAGCCGAGAGGCGGAGGTAACCCGAGAGGGTCGCTACGTGCAGGGCAGAAGCCACCGGCCTGGTGAGCTTCCAGAAGCCGGCTTTCCTGGATCCGAGCTCGCGGAGCCTTCCAGCCATCCTGCCGTGTGCTTCCGGGAGCCTCCGAGACCGAGAGCGCCTGCGCGCCGGCCACTCCGCGCGCCTCGCCGCTGTCCTCCCGCCGGCCGGCGGCCTGACGGTTCCTGCGGCGCTTCGTGAGCGGTGTCTCAGCTCCGCGGAGCACCAGCGTGCGGCATGTCGCGGCGGCGGCACAGCGACGAGAACGATGGTGAGTGCCCTGAGCTCGGCCGCCGAGGCCGCGCTCAGGTGGGCCGAGGTTTGGCTTCCTTGGTCTTCGGTTCTCGAGAGAAGGGACGGGAAGCCCTTCCTCCGGGAGCGTTCGGGGAGCCGCGGCGAGAAGGGGGTGGCACGGCGGGAGTGCGGTCGGGCAACTTTGGGAAAACCCCTGCTTGCCCGGTCCCACCTTCTCAGTCGTTGGCCACCGGGAGGCCTGGTGCACCCCGGTCCCTAGGAACTCTTCAAAATTTGGCTCTTAGCATCGCCGAGCAGGGAATTACACCTGTCTGAGCCTCCGCTTCTTGGGGACCCAGTGTCTCGTTTTGACCCTCAAATTGCACTTAGAAAGGACCCTCAAAAGATGAGAGATCTGAGCGTTCTCCTGTACCCGTCATCCGTCGTCTTGCCTTCTTCCAAGCGATAGGGAAAGAAATCGGTGTCTTATCCACACCCAAGAGGTCTCTTAAGAAAGAGATGTACGTAGATTGTTGAGTTAGATTTTGAGCTGATCGTAAGCATCTTTCCCTCGTGTAATAAAGAGTGTCGGAAGACTAACTGGAGAGCTCCTAGAGATTTCGATCAAGCATTTGGATGGTTGCGCTCATAGGGATCATGGAGTTGCCATCGTAATAAAAACCAAGAATTATTTTGCTAGTTAAAAATAGAAAAGATGTTTATCTTACAAAAATCAGTTAAGAACACACATTCAACAAACAGAAAACCTAACGGTTATTGTTATTAATAGTTTAGGGTATTGTTCTTTGAGAGTGTAGTTCGGTGGTTAAGAGGCCAGACTTTGGAATCAGAGGGCTTTTCAAAGCCAGACCCTGCTGTTTACTTTGTGATCTTGCCTGGGTTATAGTACCTCTTTAAACCTTAGTCTGTAACTTAGAAATAATGATACAGACCTTTTGGTTTTGTGAGAGGTAACACATGTAACGAATTGCTCATCAAGATGTGTATTTTATCACCTGATAATGCTTAAGAGCTGATAAACGTTGGCAGATGGTGACGCTAAGAAAAAGTACAGAACAAAAAAAATTGAATTAATTTTCTCCATTGACATTTTTCTCTCCTTGAATGTTGGGGCAACTTAGGGATAGGAGCAGAATCCCACTAATTTAAGGTTTTTTTGTTTGGTTTTTTGGTTTGGGTTTTCTTTCTTGGCCGTGGTATAAGGATCTTAGTTAGGGTTAGGAATTGAACCTGTGCCCCCTGCATTGGAAGCACGCAGTCTTAATCACTGGACCACCAGGGATGTCCCCCACTTAGTTTTAATAGTGAAGTATCAGATTTCTGCTAGAACTTGGCTTGGGAGGATATTCTACCCCAGCCTTCTCACCTCACACCTGAGGGTCTACCGTTTTAGTGTAATTAACATGGAGACAGCATTACAGTGCCCAGATACCGGCAAGTCAAGAGTTACATTACACAGGTATTACTATGCTGTATCTTTGATTTTTATTAAACACAACATAATGTACATACAGGGCACAGAAAATAGTTTTTGTGTGCTTTGTATCTGATTAGTTAAGAACTTAATCTCTTAGAAGTCATCACTTGGGATTTGGAGAACTTGGGTCTTTTAAAGTTCTTCCCATTGTCTTTGTTCTTCTTATGCTTTCTCTACTCTTTTATCTTCTCCTTTCTAGGGCATCCCTAAAGGGAAAGAAAGTCTTCCCAAGGGGCATCCTGGAGAATTGGATGTAAATTTGTAGAAAAACAACTTTTGCTTTGGTTATTGGGATGCTGGTATAACGTTCTTAGGAGTTAGCTTCTGGCAGCTAAATCACTGTCCATTTGGGTCTTGCTGCAGGAATCTCAGAATAAATAAGTAAAGACAAAACAAAACAAGGAGTTAATTAAGCAGCGTTTCCTATAAATAATTTAGTAGTTCAAGGGCAGTTTATAACCCCTTTTAGATACTACACCAAGTCTGAAGCTTTCATAAATTGCCACAATTTGGGTAACGATCATCTAGGGTTTATACTAAATGGTGATCTGAGTCAAATATTTTAGATAAGTTTCTTTTGGTTAAACGCCTACTGAATTTTTTTAAAATCAGAAATTTTGAAAACTTAAGTATTATAGAAGGCTATTTTAAAATAGGCCAAATTATTGTTGTGTTAGATAGATGCATCTAAGCATTTCTGGAGTATTGTCAGGTCTTACCAGTCCCTGATTCTCCATGTGCTTGACTAGACACAGTAATTTATTCAACAAATATTTAGCAGTGCCAGGCACAGTTCTAACCCCTGGCAGTACAGCAGAGTACGATAAAAGGTGCAGTCTCCCTTTTACAGGCAGAGAAGAATCGAGTAATAAGTGCATCACGTGTGTTAAGTACCGTGGGGAAAAATAAAACCAGTCAAAGAGGGTAGGGCTCTTGTCGTGGAGCTGTTTCTGTTTTGTATTGGTTTGTCAGTGAAGGCCTCACTGAGAATGGCATCTGATCAAAAACCTGCAGGAGATGAGGGTGTATTTACATTTGATTAAAAGGTGGGGGAAAGCAGTAGTCTAAGCAAAGAGAACCTTGAATGCCAAGGCCTTAAGGCTAAACTCGTCCTGTTGTCTTCGAACAGCGAGAAGGCCAGTGCTGCTGTAGTGGAGTGAGGAAGGGGACAGTTGTAGGAGATGAGGTCAGAGGGGTAACAGAGGATCAGCCCACAGGTCCAACTTCAAAGTGTATCTGCTGAGACTTCAGAGTCCAGGATCCAAGGCTATACCAATGAAGTTCACCTGGAGATGGATTTATAGGCAATGAAAATGGAAATAAATGTGTGTGGATACTGGTCCAGTGCTAAAACTAACTCATTTCTTGAATTCTTTTTAAGAATATCTGAAGCTCTTCAATTATTTTGGATATGCATACAGTAGCTGTTCAATGTACTGTTTCATTCTTGTAAGAAAGTATTTAGATTGTCCATAACCTTGGCCAAAAACCCCATGTTAGTCCCTTTTAAGCTACTTAGTATTAGATACTTACCTTTTAGAATGTGATTCTTTTTTAATTGATACTTAACTATAGAAAAAATAAATAAAAGTGCAGGGATTTGTTACACTGAGGAAGAAAAAAATAAATACAAGTGCAGGGATTTGTTACACTGAGGAAGAGTATAGTTTGTTTCAGAAGTGATTGTTATACCTCTGCTTTAAATCTGCAAGATCAAAGGTACTTTACTTTTCCCTTTTCTCTTGTTGGTTTTTTTTTACTTTCTCTTTCACATTAGTTGGTTTTTGTTTCCACTTTGTGGGTCTAAAATTTTTTGTAGTGCATATAAATTCTAAATAAGGATATAAAATATGTAGTATAATGTATCCATATAGAATTAGGATCACCTTACATGGGGAAAAATTATTTGGCTTATTAAGATTTTTTTCTGATGGGTTTTAATAGAGACTTCTTTCTCTTCTATACTAACCAAGGGTGTCAGAATGAAGTGCTAATGTGTAACTTTAATTTCCATTGTAAAACTTAGGTACTTGTTAATATAAAATCTGTTCTTGTTTTGTGAACTACCTTAGGTATATTTTCTTGATGATAGGTGAAAATATTCAACTGATTCCGCAAATTTTATTCTTAAAGTTTTTATTCTCCTTGCCTGTGATCTTGCCCACATTCTCTTGAGTTCAATATCTATTACTGTGTGTGAGTTTACATGGTGTCTGTTAAGTCCCCCTCCCCTTAGAGTCTCTCCAGTATCAGCTGAGAGTCGGGCATCTTCTACTTAATACTTTCTGCCTCTTATTCTCCAAACATACAAGAAGTAGGAAGAAGAGAGGAAAAAAAGGTTGCAGTTCAGAGAGAGGACTGAATACTTGTATTTTCCAGTTTTTCTTCAAAAATCCTGCCTTCTCTCCCCACAGCAGTATTTTCTTCTGTTCAGTCTTACAAGAGTGCCTCGGAGGCTGCTTTAAAGTCTGGGGTATGATTCTAAACTGATTTGAAAACAGGCCAGCTGGATAGTTAATTTAGAGGTGGCGTGGAGGTGGGATGCGAGTTAGCAAAGTAGATGGGCCAGAAAGAAAGGAACGACAGTTAAGGTTTAAAAGGAAAAAAAAAAAACTGCTCTGCTTCAGTCATTTTTTAGTATCTGCATTCTCCTAACCTTACTGGAATCTGATTCTGAAGAACAGTTAGTATATTCTGCTTCCTAGAACAGAGTTACTCAACATCAGCACTGCTGCCATTTTGCACTGGATTATTCTTTGTTGGTGGGAGTTGTTCTCTGCACTGTTTAGTAGAATCCCTGGCCTCTGCCCACTTGAGGCCAGTAGCATTCCCCCCGTGTGACAGCTAAAAATGTCTCCAGAGATTGCCAAGTGGCTCCTGGGGGACAAAATCCAACCTAGTTGAGAACCATTGCTCTTGGATACGGCTATTTTAATGTCCTGGCTGATGGCTTATGTAAATGTTCCTTCAAATATGCAATTTTTTTTCAGTGAATGAGTTCTGAAAATAGAAGTCCTTTTGTGTCGGGTTTAGCTCTTTGGGTGGTAGAACCTTTATGCAGATTCTGTGCCTTCAGCTTGATGTATACTAGAGACTCAGGGTTACCGATACCATGATACTGCACATGTCCACAACTTTACATGGACAGGTGTCTTCAGGAATATGTTGCAAAAGTTATGTTGCATGCTTGTTTGTTTGTTTGTTTTTTTTGCATTATGCCTTCTAATCTATATTCAGTGATTACTTAAACTAGATCCTAATGATCACCGAGGAGTTGGGGAGTCAAAGCACAGGGTGTTTTGCCCTGTGGCCTTTTATAACACTGATTCTATTTAGATGGTAATCAGTTTAGTTCAGTCCCTCAGTCCTGTCCAACTCTTTGCGACCCCGTGGAATGCAGCACGCAGTCTTCCCTGTCCATCACTAACTCCTGGAGCTTGCTCAAACTCATGTCCATTGAGTCAGTGATGCCATCCAACCATCTCATCTTCTGTCGTTCCCTTTTCGTCCTGCCTTCAATCTTTTCCAGCATCAGGGTCTTTTCCAGTGAGTCAGTTCTTCACATCAGGTGGCCAAAGTATTGGGGTTTCAGCTTCAACATCAATCTTCTAATGAATATTCAGGACTGATTTCCTTTAGGATGGAGTGGTTGGATCTCCTTGCTGTCCACGGGACTCTGAAGAGTCTTCTCTAACACCACAGTTCAAAAGCATCAATTCTTCAGCACTCAGCTTTATAGTCCAACTCTCACATCCATACATGACTACTGGAAAAACCATAGCTTTGACTAGATGGACCTTTGTCAGCAAAGTAATGTCTCTGCTTTTTAATATGCTGTCTAGGTTGGTTATAGCTTTTCTTCCAAGGAGCAAGCGTCTTTTGATTTCATGGCTGCAGTCACCATCTGCAGTGATTTTGGAAAATAAAGTCTGTCACTGTTTCCATTGTTTCCCCATCTATTTGCCATGAAGTGATAAGACCGGATGCCATGATCTTCATTTTTTGAATGTTGAGTTTTAAGCCAGCTTTTTCACTCTCCTCTTTCACTTTCATCAAGAGGCTCTTTAGTTCTTCTTTGCGTTCTGCCATAAGGGTGGTATCATCTGTGTATCTGAAATTGTTGATATTAATCCTGGCAATCTTGATTCCAGCTTGTGCTTCATTCAGCCTGGCATTTTGCATGATGTACTCTGCATATAAGTTAAGTAAGCAGGGTGACAGTATACAGCCTTGACATACTCTTTTCCCGATCTGGAACCAGTCTGTTGTTCCAGTCCAGATCTAACTGTTGCTTCTTGACGTGCATACAAATTTCTCAGGAGACAGGTCAGGTGGTCTGGTATTCCCATCTCTTTAAGAATGTTCCACAGTTTGTTGTGATCCACACAAAGTCAATAAAGCAGAAGTAGATGTTTTTCTAGAATTCCCTTGCTTTTTCTATGATCCAACGAATGTTGGCAATTTGATCTCTGGTTCCTCTGCCTTTTCTAAATCTAGCTTGAACTTCTGGAAATTCTTGGTTCACATACTATTGAAGACTAGCTTAGAGAATTTTGAGCTTTACTTTGCTAGCATGTGAGATGAGTGCAGTTGTGCAGTAGTTTAAACATTCTTTGGCATTGCCTTTCTTTGGGATTGGAATGAAAACTGACATTTTCCCATCTGGTGGCCACTGCTGAGTTTTCCAAATTTGCTGGCATATTGAGTGCAGCACTTTCACAGCATCATTTTTGAGGATTTGAAATAGCTCAGCTGGAATTTCATCATCTCCGCTAGCTTTGTTTGTAATGATGCTTCCTAAGGCCCACTTGACTTTGCATTCCAGGATGTCTGGCTCTAGGTGAGTGATCACACCATGGTGGTTATCTGAGCCATTAAGATCTTTTTTGTATAGTTCTTCTGGGTATTCTTGCCACCTCTTCTTAGTATCTTCTGCTTCTGTTACGTCCATACTGTTTCTGTCCTTTATTGTGCCCATTTTTGCATGAAATGTTCCCTTGGTATCTCTGATTTTCTTGAAGAGATCTCTGGTCTTTCCTATTCTATTGTTTTCCTCTGTTTCTTTGCATTGATCACTTTGGAAGGCTTTCTTGTCTCTACTTGCTATTTGAAACACTGCATTCAGACAGATATATCTTTCCTTTTCTCCTTTGCCTTTTGCTTCTTTTATTCACCTTGTGTTCATGTGGTAGTTACCTGAAGATCATGTCAGACATTGGAAGAAAAGCTTTTAACACCCCAGGTTATAATAGCCAGGTGCTGTGTTTTATGGAAATTATTGGGTTTTTTTTCACTGTCAGATGTTCCAGTGGCAAGTAAGTAGTTGTGAACTCTAAAAATGGTTCAGTTCCTCTGGCTGTACAAGTCTGGAGATTAAAAATATAACTTGGTCCTGAGTGGCCCTATATGTGCAGATTTTCATTATTAACACTGATCCCCGGTAGAGTTACAGATTATTGCTTGCTTGTCTGCTTGCTGTCCTAATAATTTAATTGGTGGAAATCAAACATTGAGTTATATTGGGGGAGTGGCCAGCACTCTGTGTAGCACCAGCATCATCTTTCATATTTAACACTGGCATTTGGAACTTTTTCAGCCTTATGTTACTCTACAAAAGGACGTGAGGTAGGAGTATTGAGGTTTTAGACAAAAAGGTAGGAGATCACTAACACCAAGACTAAATGATAGACCGTCTGGTCCGTAAGGATGCCCATCATGTACTTTCTTCCGCACCAGCTCTCTGATATCGCGCTCAGGACGTTTCTCTGCATGTCTGCCGGTTGTGAGTCTCATTGTTTGGGATAAACTAGACCCTATTGCCTCTGTGGTCTATAGAACCAAAACTATTAATTGAAGACTTCAGAGCTCAGAAACTAGTAAAACTAGTAAACTAGTAAAACTTTTGTAAAACTAGTCCTAATGTTTTATGCTTCCTCTCCCATCATTTGAAGTTTCCTCTTCCTTCCTTTTTAAACAAAAGCTTACCCCCTCACCTCGTCTTTCCAAAATGTCCAGCTTGGTCTTTATACTCGTATTTCGTCAGTTTACATAATTTTCATTATAGAATAACGAGCACTACTGACCCCGACAGGTCTTAGGAGCGACTGAGGATGATGAAACAGCTCAGGTTAAGCCCTTAAAGGATGGGAACAGCCATGCAGGGGTGTTACAGGGAGTTTTCCCTCTGCTAGTGGCTGGCATGGTATGGGCACCTTTGCTACCTATCCAAGAAATGGACAGGGCTGCTGCATTGCATAGTTCTGTGGGGACACTATTCTCGCAAAACTTACATAATGCCTCTTGGAGTTATGATGCCCCAGGGTATGGAGACTTTGGTTGTGTCTCGCCTTGTTTATTGGCTGTATCTAGCCTTGTCTGAGTTATTAAGCACTTCTGCTGTGTGTAAACAGTAGGGCTTCAGGTAGAAAAGAGATTGTAGCATTAAAAAAAGCTTTTGGTAACAGATTCATCCTGTAATATTCACTTTTTTACATTCTTGAAACAGGAGGACAACCTCACAAAAGGAGAAAGACCTCTGATGCAAATGAAACTGAAGATCACTTGGAATCTTTAATATGCAAAGTAGGAGAAAAGGTATGATCGGAATAGGTACAGATTGTGATGGGCTTAGAGTATTAATTGACTGTGCTCGATTAATTTCTGCATCTGAAAACTTGATGGTCTAACTTATGGTCAAAGTTTGTATGGCCATGCATCTACATCCCAAAGTAGATGCATATTAAAAGCTTTGGAATGCAGATAGTTGAGCGTTAAATGTTTTTAGTAATTTTCATAGAATTTAAGTCTTAGAGGAGATCTTAGGACGCAGTCTGCTCAATTTGCAAATGAAGACCAAGTAAGTTCTGGATACTTGAGGTAGTTTGCCCAGTCATACAATGAGTGAATTAGTTAGAAAAATATCAGTAGACAGAGCCTGGGATATCCTCCCACTTCTAATACTTGTTATGCTGCTTTTTAAGTTTCATTTGTTTTCTTTACAGGGTTTTCTAAAGAATAATAACAATCTGAATTTATTTATACTAAACTCTCAGAGTGCCTTATGTGTAACTTTTTTATCATTTTACTGCACTAACTGCTGGGTACTTGACAGATCTTTAATATGCTCTCCAACCCTCTGCAGAGTGCCTGCTCTTTGGAGAGCAACCTCGAAGGCTTGGCTGGTGTTTTGGAAGCTGATCTTCCTAACTACAAGAGCAAAATCTTAAGGCTTCTTTGTACAGTGTATGTATACAAAAGATTTATGAATCCAGGTGATAATGGATTATCTACTCTTAAATGCTTGGGAATGTTCAGAAGATGTGATTATGTTCCATATGTCATCTACTTTCGTTCCATGAGGAGTTTGTCAGATGAGATGACAAATTTCATTGGCCCTTTGGTGAACTCTTAGAGATAAATAGCATGAAAATTGAGCATTTTTTTTGTTTCTTGGATCCTTAGACTAATTTGAGTTGACTGCTTTTAAGTGAGAAAGCAGACAACTTCACGTTTAGCAATCTTCTTTTAAGCACATACAATTAAATGTATATAATAGAGTTTAATTTATATTTTTAATCAGTAATATCAAACAAATTTGAGAACTAGTCAGTCACTCAAGTAATAGCCCTTCTAGAAGGCTGAAGATGCTTTTGGAGCTATGACATAATAGGCATAATCTTTCCCTGAGTTAGGTTAGCTAGAATGAGTATCAGCACTTAATTTGTAAGGACATTAGTGTGGGAAAGTCTCATGTGAGATCATGAAACAATCTCTCCCAACAGTGCAATTAGCAGTCCAGACTTCTTATCACTCCAGTAGACAGTAATCACTGATTACTCTAAACTGGATGCTTTGCAGAGAAGTAGCTGTGATTTCTGGGTAAAAGGGTCTTTATTATGAAAGTGACTTTTTTGTTATTTCAGTTATTTTGAAACAATGTTTTTGTCTTAAATTACCTACACTCAGTTTTTAAATTTACAAATGTATACACAGATTGAAACTATAGGTCGATTTTTAACTTCTCATAGTGTATAAATAAATTCGATGCAGTTTTTTGAAGGAATCCAATTAATAGTCAGGAAGGCATGTCCTCACACTAGGAAACTACTAAGAAAAATAACTTGGCTATAGTTATCCATAGATTCCTTATGTTCTGAAAGCATTTATTGGAATGGTGTAGATTCATGTTTAAACTCTGGAAGCCATGACTTTGAGGTGGGTATGGGCTGAGGAGAATGGTTACTATCTGTGCAAGTATTTTTTTTAAACCTGAATTGTCCCTAACACTGCTAGGAACCTTGGGAAGATGCAAAAAATGTTAAGAGAATCTGAATGATCATGAGTTCCCATTTGCTTTTCTTTTTGAGCTAATTGCTAAAGGCTGCCTAAATTAGGGATCAACATTTGCTTTTTTTCAAAAATTTATTACTGTGATCCTCTGCTTTTCAAGTAATTTTAATGAAAATTAACACACTTGAGTACGCAAATTGAGATGTAAAGAAATCTTACTATATTAGAGCACTGTGTTAAAAATTCAGCAGTTTTAACTAATAGGAACTGGCATTAGTTCTGAACTTTCTCTAAGGAACTAGAATCGTGTTTCTCAGCGTGGAATTCTGAACCCATGACACTTGGTCATCTGAGTGTAGAAACGATGATTGCTCCGTCTCCCCCTTGATGATTCTATATTTAAACACTTGCTTCATTCAACAGTGCTCAGGTATTTTACCACAGAAACCATTTTCTGTACATCTGCCATTCGATTCCACTCAGCGTATTGGAAGAAAAGCTAGTCTAGAGTTTTATCTATTTTAGTTTGATGACTTCACAGTTAGAGTGTTTTATTTTCTTAACTCCAGGGGTTTAACTGATTAGAATCAAAGTGAAAAAATTGAGGTAGCTCTGTCTACAACTCTTCTCAATATTTATGCCTTTTTCGAAGTAGTTTTAAAAATAATAGTTAAATGTAATGTTTTTCTAAAGTTAATAAAATGATTAAAAATTACACAGTATAAAATTCAGCAACTCACTGCTGCTGTGTTTGGATCTTCTTGTTGTATTGGCTTCTGAAATCAGTGCACGTCTGTTACCTGAGAAGCTGACCATTTATACAACGTTAGTTGGACTACTGAATGCCAGGAATTACAACTTTGGTGGAGAATTTGTAGAAGCCATGATTCGCCAACTGAAAGAATCATTGAAATCAAACAATTATAATGAAGCTGTATATTTGGTAAGTTTTTGGCTTTTTGACTTTTGGGAGGTTTCGGGGGTTATGAACTTAGTGTCGGAATGGAGGAAAGAGGTGCACTACAACCAAATAATTTATCTTTTCTCTCCAGATACAGTTCTTCACTCACCATAACAGCTGCCCTTTTGAAACCATTCTTCTTAAAGATACAGAGTTCATTACCAAATCCATTGATACGGCTTCTTGTAACTCTAAATCAAGGTTGACCTCCCTGTAATAAATGATGCTTCACACTTAGCTCTTGGTTTCTGCTGCAGCACTTTTTTCAGGACCTCCTGCTGCCACCTATGTTTTATTTCTCAGGCTCCTTTTTCTGGGTCAGCTTCCTCTGCCCCTTTTAAATTTCTGTGTTTTTCAGAATTCTGTCCTCACCTCACTTTTTTTTCAAACATTCTGCCTGAAGGCATTCCATTCTGTCTCATAGCTCTGTAAACTACCTTTATTTTGATGACCCCCCCCCCACTATAGTTTTAACTCCTGCTTCAACATTTCTCCTGAGCTCCAGACCTATGTTCCAGATACTTCCTAGATAGCCCTAAGATATCTTGCCTGAAAGTTTGTCCCTAAATTAGTACATTATTCATACCTCCTTTTCTCATTCCCCACCCCAACCCACACAAGTGGCTGGTATTTACTGGGTAGCTGCCCAAAAACCTGAGCTTTGACTTTTGTCTCCCTTTGCCCCTTCACACTCTAAGCAGTCCTCAGGCCCTGTCCTTTCTACCTCATACATTTCTCTCCAGTCTGTCCCTTCTCCTCTGACTCCAGGGCCTCTAGTATAGTTCATGCCTTCTAAATGGAAATGGAATTAAGCCTTATTAATATGTAACATGTAGACTGACAGCCTTATTAATATGTGTACACAGTGGGCCTGTGTATATTAGGAATAAATATATGTGCGTGTTGAAGGTATGTGATCAAATTCTTTTCTACTGAGTATACAGTCAGAAGAGTTGGACACTGATTAGGCTGTAAGATTAAGCTCCAACCTCATCAAGCCTGACCGGTCGTGGTTGCCCCTGCCTGTCTCTCTTTGCCGTCCATATCCTCCCGGCTCTGTCAGAATTACTTGTGGGGCCCTGAACACACCTTATTTTTGAACCTCTTCTTTAGAAGCGTCTCCTGTTGAGGATTACTTTACTGATTCTTCTTGTCCTAGTTTGATTGTTACCCACTTTATGTTTTCCCTGCTCCCTTTATCTCTATTTCTAGAGCACTTCTTCTTTATCTTCTAGCACAGGAGTCATCCTTTTGGGTCTAGATGGTGTTCGTCCCACTAGTCTGGGAGCTCCCATTTGAGAGACTTTAATAGTGCTTAGCAGTGGCACACAAGGACACCCAGTAAATTTCTGTTCGTTTTCATTTCTGTGGTCCAGTTTCGCAACCAGACAAAAAAAGATTATTGGTTGTAATAGCTAGAATATCACAGTTTACGTTCCTTGTCTAGTGGACTTCCCTTATAGCTCAGCTGGTAAAGAATCCACCTGCAATGCAGGAGAGCTGGGTTCGATCCCTGGAGAAGGAAAAGGCGCCCCACTCCAGTATTCTGGCCTGGAGACTCCCGTGGACTGTGTATAACCCGTGGGGCTGCAGAGAGCCGGACACGGCTGAGTGAGTGTCACTTTGACCTCCTAGTCTAGTATAATGGAGAGCTGCACGTGTGGATTCCCGCCCTTCACGTGGTCTCTCTGACAGCACCTCTGCCCTGCTGTCGGAGCGCAAGAGCGGCCAAAACTACACGCAAACAAACGCGCACGGCTGTGCAATAATGGGTTTGTGGGCTCTGAAATTTAATTCCATGTCATTTATATTGTTTTGGTTTTTTCCAAGCCTTTAAATATCTAAAACACCATTCTTAATTTGCAGGTTCCTTTAAAAAACAGGTAGTGGTCTAGATTTGGTCCTTGGGCAAAATGTTTGTTTTATAAATATTATGAAGGACATTTAGATTTAATAGAAATTGCTTTCCCCAATAGGTCCGTTTTCTCTCTGATCTTGTGAATTGTCATGTCATTGCTGCCCCATCAATGGTTGCTATGTTTGAAAATTTTGTAAGTGTAACTCAGGAAGAAGATGTGCCTCAGGTAAGAAAACCCCTTGTGCTGAATCTCATTCATATGGTATGAGGAATTTTTCACTAATAGCCCTTTAGCAAAAAAAAAAAAAGACTAATAGATATCACATTATAAAATCTTAATATCTGAAAGTTAAGCCAACTGGCATAATGGTCGATCCTCATGACATATTAGTTAAATATCAGTTAGTATATTAGTTAAATGATTCTGCCTGATAAGATTGAAGCTAATACATCTGAAAACCCTCTGAATGAGCCAGACGTCTTCACTCAGCCCTGTTCAATAGTATCCACAGGATTCCATTCAGGACTAAATGTGACGCGAATGAAGATTCCCTCGTGCCCGTCTTAAAGGTCCCTTTTAAAAATTCTTCAGGTGCGGCGGGATTGGTACGTGTATGCATTTCTGTCGTCTTTGCCCTGGGTTGGAAAGGAATTGTATGAGAAGAAAGATGCAGAGATGGACCGAATCTTTGCCAACACTGAAAGCTATCTTAAGTAAGGGCGCGGCAGCATGGTAATGGTTTTGTGTCCCTTAAGGCTTTTCACTGGGAATTTTGTTTTAAGTTTGGTTTGCTATTAATAGGTACCTCTTTGGATATTATTATTATCTACATAGTTACAAATAAAGCTGAAGAAGTCTAAAGATGAAAATCTGCTTTCTCATGACACTAAGCTACTCTAACCCTTTCAATGTTTTTTAAATGTTTCGTATTATTCAAAAGTTGCAGTTTTATTTTTAATAATATATACATGTTTGCACAAGAAGAATGAAAACAAGAGTGTGAATATTGTAACATTTGAATGTATCCTTCCCTCCTCTTATCCAAGTGATGGTCCAGCATCCAGGTGGTTCTTCCATGCACACTTCCTTTTTCCCCGCATCACAGCTTGGATTGCTGTGCAGAATATCTAGCTCTACCTCATTCGTTTAGCAGCTGAATGGTACTCCACTCGTTTAACGTACCCTAGTTTCTTTAATTCGATTCCTGTTGGTGACGTTGAGCCTATTGGAAGGCTTTGGCTATTTTAAACTGCGTTTCAGTGGATATCTTTGTACATATGTCTTTGTGTACATGGGCAAGTGTGTTTGGGTTATGTGAATTTTTAGAGATGGCATTACTAGGTTGAAGTGTCTTAACAGTTTTAATTTTGGTAGATTGTTTAGTCAGATTGCCTTCCAAAGAGATTATACTCTTCCAGATCTCTTCTAAAGTGATTCATTATTTATCAGTTAGCCTTCTGCCAGCAGTGTTTTCAAAACTGTATTTGCCTACATTTTGGCAATGCAATACATTATCAACGATTCTGATATCTGACAATTTGACAGGTAAAAATGTTTCACTCCTGTAATTCGCATTTTCTTAATTATGAAAGCAACTGAACATCTTTTCATGTTTTTAAAAACCTAAATGTAGATTTTCATTTTCACCTTTAGAAGACGCCAAAAGACTCATGTACCCATGTTACAAGTATGGACGGCGGAGAAACCACATCCGCAAGAAGAGGTGAATTGACTTCAGTCTCTTGTGATAGATACAAGCACAGAGTAGATCCTTAATCTCTGACATACTCAGATCATCCCATTTGTATACCATAGCTATGTTGTCACACTTCATGTCAGGGGTTCAGCTCCTCATAGCCCTAGGCATATAGTGTGTTTTTAATAAATGTTAGAATGTCCTTGAAACGTTCCCTATTCTGTGGGATTCCAGATATCATAGAGTTGATGTATTTTTTACTTAAATGCCCAATTTGAAAAAATAAGATGTAGCAGCCCCAGACAGACTTTGTAAAGTAATTAAAGCGTATACAGAAACATAGCACTATTCCTTTGCATTATATTTAATAAGTTAGCTTGCTTTTGTATCCTGTATTTTAGAAGGTAGTAGATTTTTGGTTTTGTCTAGTCAAAATGTTATTTCACCTGGCCTCCAATTATCTATTAATTGTTAAAAATCAATCTGTCTTTAGTATTTAGATTGCCTCTGGGCCCAGATTCAGAAATTGAAAAAGGATCGCTGGCAGGAGCGGCACATCCTAAGACCTTATCTTGCCTTTGACAGCATCCTGTGTGAAGCCCTGCAGCACAACCTGCCCCCGTTCACGCCGCCGCCTCACACTGAAGACTCGGCGTACCCGATGCCGAGGGTCATCTTCAGAATGTTTGACTACACGGATGATCCCGAGGTACGCGCGTGGCCAGCAAAGCTTCTTTCAAAGGGCCTGTGCTATGTTGTACCTCTGGTCTCATCTCGTTAGAGTTATACTGTGGGACATTTTAATTTTGAGCCGTTTATTGTCTGAGACGGTCAGTGGCAGTGAAGTTAGCGTCTTAATTCAGCAAATGGTATCACCTCAATATGCAAGAAGTCATGTTTAGCTTATATGAATGGTGTACAATTGAAAAGTGTAGGTTCAAGAGCCATGTTGGTTTGGGTTTTAATCCCAATTCAGGCGTATCCCAACTGTGTGCTCTTGAGTGAGTTATTTACCTTAGTTTCCTAAATAGAATAATAATTAGTATATAGCTCACAAAGTTGTAATGAGGATTAAATTATTAATATACACACATAAGGTATATAGAATGCTATATGACACATGGTAAGTGCTCAGTAGTGTTTAAAAATCCCAAAGATTAGTATAAGCTGACTTTATAGTTCTTAAATATATGTAGTTTTTATTATGAGGTCAGGTTGTTGGTAGCGTTTATACTTTAGCAGTTTAAAAAATGTGTAATTTGGATAATAACATTTAGTATAAAAATGTACATTTTAACTATGCTTTACTTCATGCCTTTGTGTTTAAATGACCGTGTTAACTTTAATACCCAAGCGGCAAGCATAGTGATCCCTGGATTGGTTCTGAATAGAAACTCGCCATGTGCTGGTGGTGGTGTGGTCGTGTCTGACTCTTCATGACCTCGTGGACTGCAGCCTGCAAGGCGCTCTCACACCTGTTGCTTATGTGATCCAGTCAGCATAGAGCAGGGTTCCTCAGCCTCAGCACAGCTGATGTTTTGGGCCGGGGAATCCTTAGGTGTGAGGCTGTCCTATGAATTGTAGGATGCCTAGAATTCTCCCTGGCCTCTACCTTCTACGTGCCAATACATAGGTGCCAGTGGCGTGTCAGTTATGACAACCAGAAATGTTTCCAGAGATTGCCAGACATTCCCTTAGGAGCAGAACTGCCCGCGCGTGAGAGCCACTGGCATAAGAACCCATGTTACTACCTAAGGTCAAATTTGAGTTTTCTTTCCCCGCCTTCTCTCTTCTAATCTATGGAAAGTTGCTTTTGATCAGTGAAATTTTAGTGTATGTATACTGTATCTTAGAGTAAACAGTTGTTGGGTAATGGGTTAGTTAGTGTTAGTTACTCAAGTCGTGTCTGACTCTCTGCACCCCCATGGACTGTATCCCTGCCAGGCTGCTCTGTCCATGGAATTCTCCAGGCAAGAACACTGGAGTGGGCTGCCATTTCCAGGGGATCTTCCCGACCCAGGGTAATCAGTTATAAATATAGAATCATCAGCTTGCTACCCACTTGCAGTATTCCATATATAATAAAATGCTTTTAGTCGACTTTGTGTAATGGTCTAATTAGGTATATGTAATTGACGGTCTGCTTTACAACAAGACTGTTAGAATCTTTGTGATCAGGTATTTATTTGTGCAGAGGGAACATTAGAATAAGACCTCAGAATCTGCTTCTCCTGTACTGTTTGTAATTGGTGTTTCCTCTGTGATGTGCCCATCATCCTTTGCCAGAAGTGCATAAATACACAAGATATCTTAAGAGGATTTGGTTGTTTAGTTCTGGACTTTGAAAAATAAGTTTTTCTTTTGTAATCAGAAATTATAAAGTAAAGTAAAAGTCACCATTAAGAGTCTACAGTGGTGACTAAAAAAAGAAAATAAACTCATTGAACCTGTTTGCTATGCATATTTTTTAAAATCAATACATAGATAATGTTCTTTAACCTTTTTAAAACAACACAGTGTGGATACCTTTCAACATATATGTGATTTTTTAATGTCTACATAGTGTTTTTAAATAAAATTATCCCCCCTCCATGTGTTTTTTTTTCCGGTTTCATTTTTTAATTTACTTTATTTTTGGCTGTGCTTGCTCTTGTTGCGGTAAGTGGGGGCTCCTCCGTGTCGCAGTGCTTGGGCTCCGCATTGCAGCGGCTTCTCTCGTTGCGGAGCACAGGCTCTGGGGCACGCGGGGTTCGGCAGTCGCAGCGCAAGACTCGTAGTCGCCGCTCCGGGGCTCTGGAGTCTGGGCGCGGTAGCTGCGGCGCGCAGCAGCAGTCGTGGTCTTAGTTGCTCTGCACCACGTGGGATCTTCCGAATCAGGGCTCGAACGCATGTCCCGTGCATGGGCAGGTGGATTCTTTACCATCAAGCCACCATGGAAGCCCCCTCTCCATGTTTTTTATGGAAGTAATCCATTCTCATTGTTTAAAAAAATAAATCAAGGGCTAATAATAGTTTGCTTCATTTAAGACTTGAGGTGGGCAGAGATAGTAGTGTCAGGTAGAAGAAAAACTATAACTGATATTCTAGTTCTCTTGTAGGTAGGTGAACACAGAAATAAAATTTGTTGAAATACAGAGCTTTCATGCTTGTGAACTTTTATCCTCAGCATCCAATATAAAAAAAGTATCTGGAACATAATAAGCTCTCATATATTTCATTAAATAAATGAAAAATGGGTCTATAGTATATACCTGTTGTTTTGGTTCCAGGGTCCTGTGATGCCAGGGAGCCATTCAGTGGAAAGATTTGTAATAGAAGAGAATCTTCACTGCATCATTAAGTCCCATTGGAAGGAAAGGAAGACTTGGTAAGATGCTTTTCATGGTACTTTTACTAGTGTGGCGAAAAAGGAGCAATCTTGATGATTTAGAAAGAGTAAAATGTATGTTAAGAGTAAAAAAGTCTTTCTCTTCCTGGTTTCCGTCTCACTAAGACCAATTTCAAAAACACTTAGCTTGCTTTCTGGCGGCACTTCACCTTCAGATAGTGTTTTCTGGATGCTGTATAGTACTGTGGTGCTTTCTAGTGTTATGCATATGGTGCCTGCTCTTTTACGTGGATATTTGCCATATGTTCTGGATAAATTAACTTGAGTGACCAGCTATTTGGGGGATGAATGTTGCAGGAATAAATGAACACGGCTCTGTTTTGCTCTGTTTCCTAGCAGTTAGACATCAAGCTTTGGAAAAGTTTATTTTTAATGTTTTCTAAAACCCTGGAAAGTTTCAGTTTGGATTTTAAGATGGAAAGGGATATAGCATTTTGGGGATAGTCTACCATATAACGCTTTTTAAGTTAGTAGATCTGAATGTACTTCCTTACTATTATTTATGTTCTTTCCGATCTTTCAAGGAGTTTTGGATATACATTAAGGAGTTTCCCTTAAGGTAGAAAGAATAATCATGCTGTGGTTAGGTGAAGTAACTGAAGTCTAGAACATTTCAGAAAATACCTCCTCTATATCCACACACACTGTTTATGAAACTGCTTATCTGGTTTTTCATGTGTCTGTGTCTACTCACTAAACTTAAATTACACTTTTTATAGCGCCGCGCAGCTAGTGAGTTATCCTGGGAAGAACAAGATCCCCTTGAACTACCACATAGTTGAGGTATGCATTCCAGATGGAGCTTGTTTTACAGTCTCAGGGGCTTTCTGTTGACTGTGAAGTGTAATCTGCTTTTGGCCTTTTGTTACTGTTCTTGCTGCTTGTCAGACAATGAAAATTAACTGAGAAAAGAGGAAGCTGCATTCAGTTTTGGAGCTCTATTAACCATGTTGGTAAAGAGAAAAGAGGAGGTTAAGCCCAGTAAGCAAACAGAGTTTTGAGCTGTCTGTAATTTATTTATATAGGATGTCTTCATTCGGGGTAGTTATCAGGGATAATGTGAGCTACCTCCAACTCTAGCGGCACCTTGTCCACCTAACAGACGTGTGCATGCGCGCATGTCTGTGTCCCCCTCTAAGTGACCCCACAGACTGTAGCCTTCAGGCCTCCTCTGTGCATGGGATCTTCCAAGCAGTACTGAAGTGGGTTGCTATTTCCTTCTCCAGGGAACATATGTATAAGCGGCTTAAATACTTTATAATATTCTTTAGGCAGATAACCCATTTTTAAGGGTGTTTATCTGGTTTCTCACTACTAGCATACTCTGGACTAGTATATTATTTCCTGTATCACAAGGGTAGGGAAATAAGAATCCTTATTTATTCTTAGAAATCAAAAGAGTCAATTGTTTTGGAAGTGAAAAAAATAGGATAAGGCTTTTGATTCCATGTAAGTCATACAGAGGAGGATATTAGTACAGTTGAATACCTTATAGAAATTTAACTTTGCATTCATACTACCAGTGTGAACAGTGGTATAGTGCATCTGTTCTATCTTTACAAAACTTGAGAGCATGCTTAGGCTAATGGATTTCACTCATTGACATGTCAATTGAAGTGCAAAACTTAAGTCACATTTTAAAATCTGCCACATTTTAAAATCTGCAAAATGTATAGAAATTCATACAAAAGTGTGGGAGATAGGAGTGAGGAGGAGGAATGCAAACTAGGCTTCAGAAGTCTAGGTATGTGGCCCACAAATTATACATGGAGGATGAAAACAAGCTTCTGAACAAGAGCATGGCCACAATGTCTTGGACTAAAAGGCGGTGTAACTGCAGAATGACTTAACTGTCTTCTGACCCCATCCTCAGAGTCTACAAAGGGCTTCTATTTCTTACAGACTTGAAACTCTGATGGCTCTATGAGTCCCTAGTAACCTGTACCTCTGTGAATTAACTCTGATACTTTCAAAGTTGAAATTTAATTCTCTGAAAATATCAGCTAAGCATTAATTTTTGCATATTCTTATTGATTGAGTTACAGAGATAAAAAATCTTCATTACGGTATTCAATCATAGGTCTTTGTGTTTTAGAAAGCATAGTTTTTAAGGTTAAAAAGTTACTTTTTAAAATTATGAATATCATAGAATTCAGAACTGAGGTCTTTCTAAATAGTAGAAGTGCATGGATAGCTGTCGAACCGAGTTGCTGACTCGTGATTCCCTTGCAGGTGATCTTTGCAGAGCTGTTTCAGCTTCCAGCACCGCCTCATATCGACGTGATGTACACGACACTTCTCATTGAGCTGTGCAAACTTCAGCCTGGCTCTCTACCCCAAGTTGTATCCTTTCTTTTGTTTTTAAACGTACTCTATTTGGCCTGGTTTTACAAGATTATTAAATATTTCTGCTGGTGGGTTTAAATCACTTCATGAAAACAGTTTGGCGTTTCTTTAAAAGTTAAAAATCACATTACCATACAATCAGCCACTCTTTGACTGTTTACCCAAGAGTATTAATGTTTATAACTTTATGTGTAACAACCCAAAGCTGGAAACTGTCCAAATATCCATCAATACATGAATGGATAAGCAAATTTTGTTACAGTTATACAATGGAATACTACTTAGGTTTAAAAAAAAAAACAGATTTTCAATGCAGGCATCAACATGAGTGAATTGCAAAATATATGTTGAATAAAAGATGCCAAACAAATATGAATTCATAGTATATGATACCATTTACACAGAATCCTAGAAAATGCAAATAATGTAGTGATAGCAGACCAGTATTTGCTTGGGGGCATAAATGGGAAGAAAGGAGGATGGATTATAAGGAGAATGTGGCAATTTTGGAGGTGATGTAAATGTTTATTATCTTGATTTCACAGGTGTATACAGGTCAGGTGTATTGTATATCATTGATACCTCAAAGATCAGTTACTTGAAAAGAATTACTAGTCATTACATAGACTTCTAGGAAATGTTAATTGTTTTTTCTATCACAGATTTATTTTCAAAGAGAGTATAGTTTTCCTTATCCTGAAATTCACAGCTTGCACAGGCAACTGAAATGTTATATATGCGTTTGGACACAATGAATACTACATGTGTAGACAGGTATAGTATTGCCCCCCCCCCACTTTTTTTTTTTTAATATTTGCCTGAGGTGGGTCTTAGCTGCTGCAGATGAGATCCAGTTCCCTGACCAGGAATCAAACCCACGTCCCCTACGTTGGGAGCATGGAGTCTTAGCCACTGGACTACCAGGGAAGTCCCTGCCTTATTTCTGTAGAGTGTTAGCAGCTTCTACTCCTGTACTTTATAAAAGTGTTTGATCAGAAAAATATTTGCCCTTTTAAGAATTTCCAAGTTGGTTTTTCTTTCTTGCCTCCTCCAAATAATCCTATATATAATTAAGCTCATACTTGTTGTAATATAGCATTTCACTTTCTAGTCTTAATTTTCAATATGAAATGATACCCATGCTGAAGTTTTCTTTAATTTCATTGTTATTTGTTTGGTGCTTTGGTATGGTTACACTTTCCCTCTGTAATTAGGTAGGTAAGCTTTTAAAATAGGCTTTATGCTAATTCATGTGTAGAAGCAGAGTCTAATTCTGTATATTATGTTTATATATTATGTATTTGTTTATAGATAGTGTCTGTTTCTAAAATAATTAGCTTCCCTAGAAGTACAACTTCAAGACTCAGTTTATACAAAAGAACATATTGGATTTTTATAGCTGTGTTAATTGACATGCCCACTGTTGTCTTTTGGGTGAGATCTTACTGCCTCTGTTAGCTAATATGCTCTCTTACTCTGCCACTTTCCCAAATTAGCTCAGAACAGGTAGTGAATATTTTCCATAATCCGTCATGTCCATTGTTCAAATACAATATTTGAAAACTATCAGAAAAGGCTATCCTGTGTGTTGACCTATTATCTTGAGTAGTTTTAATGATTGAAATTATAGGGACATAAGAGATACGCTTTAAGGTGTCTGCTGAGGTTTTTCCCAGTCTAATTAATAAACTGCCAGTTGCTCTGGGCATTCCAACTATGCCATTCATTCAGCAAGTATTTACTGGGCTCTTATAAATTTCACAGCATTATATAGTGTACTAAAGTGACCCCTATCTAGTTAGAGAGATCAGGGGTGTCTTTAAGAGAAAAAGAGGCTGTGATGGTATGTTTTGTTGTTCGTGGTAAAAAGAGCATGGTATGATAAAGACTGTGCTATGGGTCTTGCATTTATAAAATGTTTTTAATCTTTTTTTGCACCTCACGGAGTTTCATTGTCAGTTAAATGGAATAATACATCCCTCAGCAGTTACTGCGAGAATTAGATTATATAATATGAACACAGAAGGCTCTTGATATGAAGCAGGCACTTGAGTTGCACCTGTTACTCTCTTGAAAAGGACAGCGCTGTTAGGAGGAGTGAGGTGGGCACGCTGCTATTTGAATAGAAGCCGAGTTGCAGAATCTGCACAGATGGGTAGGTGGCAGGAGAGAGTGACAGCTGTCGGCAGGGCGAAAACAGGGTCTGATTTGTCTGCAGAATTATGCGAATTCCTATTGTAAACTGCAACCTTTCATCCTTTTCCATCCCCCCCCCACGTCTTTGTGTAGGTTTATTAATTGGTTTTCCCATCATCTAAGTAACTTCCAGTTCCGTTGGAGCTGGGAAGATTGGTAAGTACTGTTATGTATATCTTTCTCTACAGTTTACCATTTTAAAAAGTAATATTTAAAACTATAATATAAAAGCAATCTTTTTTGTGATCTGACTTAGTTTTTTATATCTATATGTATATAAATGAAATAATGCAAGTAGAAGAGAACTATTTGCAGCTTAATACAAGGTAGATAGAAATGCAGATTATGTGTAAGAACTTGTAAAACTGTATTTTGTCATTAGGTCAGATTGTCTTACTCAAGATCCAGAAAGTCCCAAACCAAAGTTCGTAAGAGAAGTTCTAGAAAAATGTATGAGGTAAGTTCTTTGTGTTTTCTCCTTAGCTTAGGTTGTCTCATTTCTGTGGGGGAGGTTTCCCTTCTCAAATGTATGTCCAGAATATCATTTTTAAAATCCAAGTACCTATCTTTCTTCCCTTTCAGATTTAGGCTGAAAAATTAGGGCAGCTGTGCCATCTGGATTCTATGTGAATTAAGTCAAAAAGTTTATTTTTGTCAAATATACTTTGAAATAATTTCAAATTTTAGGAAAGTTGCCAAAATAGAACTCTGTATCATGTTCATCTAGATCCCCTAGTTAACATTTTACTACATTTGTTCTAATGCCTGGTCCTTTTTCCCTCTCTGTATAATATCTACCCTTTATATTGGTCTTTTTCTGAACTTTTTGAAAACAAGTTGCAGATATGATGTCTGATCACCTTTAATAGTCAGTTGTATATTTCCCCCAAACAAACACTTCTCCGTGACCAGGATACAGCCCTCCAGATCAGGATGTGAGCTGATAACGGTAACACCACTTGTACAGTCCACAGATGCTGCTGAAATTTTGCCAACCATCCCAACAGTATTTTTTTCCTTTCTGGTCCAGAATTGTATCCAGGAGCATGTATAGCATTTAATTGTCATTTTCTTCTGATTCCTTCACCTTGAACTGCTGTTCTTCTTTCTCGTTCACATCACTGTCAGTTTTAAAGACTGCGGGCCTTTGCTGTGTTGCCTTGGTGCATCCTCATGAGTCAAGTCTCACACTGTCCACCACTAAAGATGTTAATCTTGATTAGATGGCCACGTCAGGCTTCTCAGCCTGAAACTCGCCTTTTTCCCCTTGGTGGTTGATTCGTGTTTTGTGGAAAATACCCTGAGGTGGCACTCAGGTCTTAGAGCAGATCTCCACTGCAGCTTGTCCTTTCATTTGCCACCACTGTGATGATCCTCAGATGATGATTCCCGTTTTCCATTATTCTTTCTGCATTTATTAGTTGACTTTGTACTGTAAGAAAGAGCTTTCCTATTTTAGCTGTTTATTAGTTCCTATGTCTGTGTATCAGCAGACTGTTCCATTCAGTGGACTGTAACTCAGCACTGTCGTTACTTACTCTGATGCTCAGAGTTGCCCCGATTTGTCCACTGCGAGTCCCTTGTGCCTGCTGTGTCCCTGTTTTTCCCTTCCTTTAATGTTCCCCCTCCATTCATTGAGCATTTCCTTATTTCTGGCACAGATGTTCCAGGCTCTTCTTATGTTTCCTTGCCCCTTTCCTGGAATCATCTATTCATTCAAAGAGGAGGAGCTTCTTTTATGGAGCATGGTATTTAAGTAGCAAGGTCTGGACATTTGATGTGTTTATTGCTATTGGGTGTAACTTGTTTTCTGCCCTCTAGATGGACAAGCATGGTGAATATATTTATGCACACATGTACCCATACATACACAAATCTGTTTTTATATCCACCTAGATGTGTGTGTCTTTCCAGTTCCAGCCCAACATATCATTTTTCTCCCTAGCCTTCCCCTTTGCCATGATTTCTAAATACCTTGGCAGACATTAAGAAACTTGTCTCCCATAGTCTTGATAAGTATTCATCTACTACAATATAACCAATCTCCCAACTGTACAAACTGTTTCCTCCACCTCATCCCACCCTGCCATTACCACCTCACATCCTTGGCCACCGGGCTTGTGGACCCACTGGTCCACATCTCCGTACAAAGCAGGAAGTTCTGAAGAAGACGTGGGTTCTGGTGCGCTGGCCCAGACGGGAGTTACAACGACGTGTCGCCCCTTTGCTTCCTGGTCGTCAGCTGAGTGCAGGGTGCTGATCTCCTAAGTTGGCTATTACCAAAGAATGAGACTGGTGAATGGTGTTTTCTGAGGCTTTTGTTTATATTGTAGGTTGTCTTACCACCAGCGTATATTAGACTTTGTCCCTCCTACCTTCTCAGCTCTGTGTCCTGCAAACCCAACCTGCATTTACAAGTATGGAGATGAAAGCAGCAGTAAGTAATGAATCCTCTGTTTTTCAAAGGTACTAATGCAAGTATTAAGTCAGTTTTCTAAGGTGGAGAAAGTAAATTATTTCTCTTTTTGGGTTTATATTTTCTCTGTTTGAAAGGTGATTTGTCACCAGCCTCTGTTGTTTTCTTTGCCCTGTCATAATTCTAAACATTTACTGTGATTTACTTAGTTATTACTGTCTTGTAACTGTTTTTAATATTGTTTATAATGTTTTCTTCATGACATTTTAAGTGTTGTTAAGTATAGCAAGATGAATTTATAGCCAGAATGTACTAAAATGAAAGTATGTGTTTGTCATGGCAGTTTTGATTACATGAATTGATTTATCATCTGCTAACAGTACAGGTGTGGGAATATAGGTGCACATGGAGACACATGTTATACCTGCAGTGTGCCTCTAGTCTAGAAGTAAATTCTTAAACATACTTTTCTTACTTTTTGGTCACGTCATTTCTGAGATTTGCACTGTAAATCAAAGGGACTGTTTAATTTGATATGCCATATTGTGCTTCACACTTACTGGAGGGAAGGTTTTGCCCAGGTGAGCAGTGGTCGACAGGCAGGTGTGGAGTTACCAAGTTGGTCTTTCCACCTGGCACTGAACTCGGCTCCCCGGGAGCCTCCACTCCATGTTGTGTAGCACTTCTTTGCACCTTAAAACTCACTCCTCTTCCCTGCTTTCTCACACTGCACCGGTTTCTCCCCTGCACTTCAGACTACACCTGTTTTCCTTGAAACAAAACTCGGCTCCACTGCTGAGTATTCCGTTTCCTGTGTTACTGTGTCACTTCTTCCTTAAAACAACTGTTGAGAAATAGGTATGTTCTTAACAACAGTTTTACAATGAGGGAATAGCTTCAAAGAAGCTATTCTGGGCTAAAGCCCAGACTTAAATACTGGGCAGCCTTGAACACTGTGTTTTCTGCAAAAAGCAAAGCTTGATGGGGTACTTACAAGTGATACATTTTGATTTCTGCTTTGCACTGGCTCAGAGAACAATAAGATACAGTCTTTGATATCAAAGAGTTCAGACTTTTGTTGAACACTGAGCTTTCTTTTTTCCCCAGGGAATTAACTCAGCCTTCAGCCTAACGCTTAAGGCCCACCTAACTGGCGTTTCTACTTTATGATTTGTCACTTCTTCTCAAATGAACCTCTGCTCCAGCCAAGCCCACTTCCTTTGTTTTTTCCATGCTTCTCATTCTTGGTTTTACCTGTTTGTACCATTATCCCTTTCTGTTCTCTGATTCCTGTTCTCTCTCCAGGATCTAGCCCAGGCTCCACTCTTGTGAATATTTTCTTAACCTTTAGCAAGCCAGTTTTGTGTTACTCTCTGGCTACTTTTTATGTGAGTATCTTGGTTCCTTACCTAGAATGTAGACTTGTCGATGGTGGAGGATTTTTCTTCCCTCTCTCTCCCACTTTCAAGAATAGTACAGAGCACATGTGAATTGTTGGAACTGACTTTATTCATTCCAAGTGCTTAGTAACTCGTATTCTGTGTCAGAATTGCCTTCTTTGCTACCTCTTTGTAACCCTTACATTAAAAGTAGATTTCCCGTTGCTCTGGTGATGCCGAACAGTATGTATTAGCACAGACTGTATACAGTAAGGATCGGATATTAACCAACAGTAGACATGTGGAGTCACAGCACACGAGCATCTGGCTCATACAGATTCACGTATGTGGATTCAGCAAAAGGGAAAAGCAGAGTCTGTCTTAAATTGGCAGCCTTCACCTTGTTCAAACCCAAACTTAGTGTCCACTGTATCAGGGAAAAGGAGGCGCACTGACCGAAATGAAAGAGAAATGCACTCTCCGCCTCTCAGCTCGCAGAGGCCTAGGGATCGGAGACCATCAAAGGAGAATTGCAGCTGTTTCCCGAGGAAGACCCACGCCTGCCGCACGCTGAGTTTCAGTTAGCCCCGTGTTCTTAAGGAAGTGTTGAGGCAAGAAACCCATTGTGCCTTACTTCAGGTGAAAAGCCACTGACATGCTGAATGAAACTTTCATGTGTGGTTATCTTTATACAGAATAAATATTGACCTTAGCATAGAGAGTACTCTATTTTAAAAGAAAGTCATCTCTTAAAAGTTTTCCAGTTATTTAACTCTTTGCATTCTGTGCTTAGACTCTCTTCCTGGACATTCGGTTGCCCTCTGTTTAGCTGTTGCCTTTAAAAGTAAAGCAACCAATGATGAAATCTTCAGCATTCTGAAAGACGTCCCTAATCCTAATCAGGATGATGATGATGGTAAGGGAATTAAATATTTGTTGAATGAAACTATGTATGGGTCAGGCTTAAGTAAAAACATAATTCTCGTACAGTTTATTTGTTTAGCCGAACAGCCTGTCAGTTATTCCCCAGAACACAGGTATTCACTTAACTGTGGATAAAAGTGAACACACTGTTCACTTAAACACTGCCTGCTGTCACTTTAGAGAGGTTCCTGCACAGGAAGACGTGGTGTATTATGAAGTTGGATGTTCTCTCCAAATTGCACTGTAAGCTTATCATCAACAAAAGAGAAGACAAAAAGCCATGAGAGGGACTTGCTTTCTCATCTATTAAAACATCTTGGAAACTACAATAACTTAAACAAAAAAAGACAAATTAATGAAACAGATAAAGAATCCTGGGAACATCGAAACATGTATATTATCTAGGGTGAAACAGATCACCAGCCCAGGTTGGATGCATGAGACAAGTGCTTGGGCCTGGTACACTGGGAAGACCCAGAGGGATCTGGTAGAGAAGGAGGTGGGAGGGGGGATCGGGATGGGGAATACATGTAGATCCATGGCTAATTCATTTCAATGTATGACAAAACCCACTACAATATTGTAAAGTAATTAGCCTCCAACTAATAAAAATAAATGGAAAAAAAAAAATAAAAGAATCCTGGGACAACGGGGTAACCGTTTAGGAGGAGAATTTTGTTAGGTCTGTACACAGAGAAAAATGGCTTAAAATATTAATGGTGTTTAGATTATTACTGAGATTTTGTTTAGATTTTTCTAAGAAGTTTGTATTATGATGTTAGAATATATTTAGAAAGTATAATTCAGAATGTTAAATATAAACATTGTCAGACATCTTAGGACATGGACCTAAAGTGTAAAGGGTTTAACTGTATTTTTTTCTTTTACTGTATTATCTTGCCACCATGTAGAGAGATAAGAACAAAGAAATCTATGTGGTATTTGTAAAAAGAAATGGATCATATAGAATAATTTGGGAAACAATCCCAAAAAACTTCAGAATTAAGGTCATGCTTAGTTTTATATTTTGAGGACACGCGATTAATCAGTGACGGTCTTTTATTGTCTGTGAGTGCGCTGAGACATTGCTTGAACGTGGGACTTAGTATTTGGATATGACTGTGCCATCTGCTTAGCAGTACAGGTTAGGGACCAGAGAACTGCTGTACTTAATCTTCCGAACTCTCTCTGCTGTTGTTCAGATGAAGGATTCAGCTTTAACCCACTGAAAATAGAGGTCTTTGTACAGACCCTGCTACACCTGGCAGCCAAGTCGTTCAGCCACTCCTTCAGCGCTCTTGCAAAGTAAGTGCAACCAGAGCACACATGCTCTCGTGAGGGTTTCAAACCTTGCTGCATGAATACCAGTGGTGTGGTTTTTACCTTAAGATGATTGAATAGAGAGATCTTAATACTATCATATAATTTGATACAATGGGTTCTGGTTTGTGGTAGCTACCATCCCAGTCCTATGGCTCCTGTCTGTGGTTTGCATGTATATATAAAGTGTACATTTTTTCACATAAACCTTTAGAGAAACAAAAACCTGGGTCCATAGGACAGTCAAAAAGTTCCCACCTTGTCCAAGGATCTTCCTAAAAAGAGGGTGAGCAGAATTGAGAGCCAGCTGCATTTTTGGGAGCCACCCAAAGGTTGGCATCTAAAGACAGAACTTTTTAACTCATCATACAGTCTAAATGAAGAACGAACATATATTTTTCCCAATCAGGCAGAGAAACTAGACTCCTCACCCCATCTCAACTTCCAAGTCTCTCTATGAGACCTGCAGGCAGAATACTACATTTGTGTTAGGAGACTATTCCTTAGCCCTCATCTATCCTTAAAGACACAGTAAACTAGAGTCCTTGGCTAACGATAGTATTTTGTAATTCTCCTACGATTTTGAGACAAATGCCATACAAATTGAATTCCTAATCATACCTTTTATATTCCTTAATGATTAATGATGTTTGGTTATTTTGTATTTGTATACTGCACTAGAAATTGAGTAACGTTGTAAAGCTTTGAAAATGTTCAGATGCTCAATAAGTTTATATGTGCTATTTCTGCCCCCACCCCCGCCAACCATGAAAAGGTTTCATGAAGTCTTCAAAACCCTAGCTGAAAGTGATGAAGGAAAACTACATGTTCTAAGAGTCATGTTTGAGGTCTGGCGGAACCATCCACAGGTAAAAACTAATTAGACATGCTGAGATGCTGATTGTATAGGTATAAAAAGAAGGCACTTGATATCATTGTTTTAGTTTGTAGAACATGAAATTTGACTGTGTCCCTCGAACAGTTTTTAAATCTATAATTTTAGTGCTGTGGAAGTAGTGATGTTTGAGTCATTCTCTAAAGAGCAAGTGTTATGATTTGGTTTGATATTATAATATCTCAACACATTTTAAGTAAGAATGCTTATTTCTTGGAAGGTTCTCCAATTGGGTAGGAAATAGTTCTTTAATCTATCCAGTTTCTATTTTTAAACAGGCCCCAGATTTCTCAAATCTCAATATACTATTTTAATATCATGTGTTATAAAGAGGCATTAAAATAAATTTTGGAGTATATTTAAGACATTTTTCATGATAAAACTTTAGGATTAACTTTGGCACATTATTAACCAGGATATTTTTGCACTAATGCACGCTTATGGCCAGCAGTTTATTATATAAATGAATACTGAAACATCTGCAGTCAATAACTTCCAGGTAACAAAAGATGTATTACTAAGTCTCTGGTCAGTATGTTTTAAGTGTTAACATTCAGAGTTTCTTTTTGCTCAGTCTTTATTTGTGTTACTGTGTTCTTACAAAAAGCACCAGAGCCAAGCAGAGGGGAAAACACATCTTGAGACCTAACGGTCAAACTGTTCAGCTCCACAGCTGCAGAGTGCTCACACCCGTCCTATTTCAACTTCTCGGCAGTGGGATTGTTGTGGCCTACGTGTAACTGTGACTTCCCTGATAACTTCTTTCCTCTGACTACAGATGATTGCTGTTCTGGTAGATAAGATGATTCGTACGCAGATTGTCGACTGTGCTGCAGTAGCAAATTGGATCTTCTCTTCAGAATTGTCTCGTGACTTTACTAGGTAAGATGGATTATTTTACAAAGTTCTCATTCTCTAAGAATTCTTATACATGAGCTCCAAATTCGGGTCCAGACCAGGTTATACTAGTATCACAGTGGTCCAGTCTGGACTCGGCAGAGATTCTCGCACAATGGAAATACACACAACCAGTCTGGTTGCAGTGTCTCTTAGGGACACACACATAAGGTGAATTAGGACTTAAAAGTAGAAATGCTTATTACAAAGGATCCAAACTGTTGTGCGGAGAGATCGGGCTGTATGTCAGGGTCTCAACTAGACAATGGGACGTGGCAGGAGTTCACAGTAGGAACTGGCAGAAATCAGTCCATTGTAGATTAAGTGCACGTTACGGAGGGATTGAGGAAAGCCTGGTGGGCACCTGAATGCCACTGGGGGGAGGAGGTCTCACCTTAGTCATAAAAATCCTGGATGTAATACACAGAAAACTCTCTCTCGGCTCATTCCCCCTAAGGGCAAGAGACTTTTCAGTTTGGTTCTTATCCATGAAGCAGAGTCCACAGGCTTTATACCTGACCAGGACTAGGACAACAGGAGTTAATACAAAATAGGAAACAAAGGAACCCATTACTTGCAAAGACATAAATATCCATCACAGCCTTTATCCTCTTCACTGTGTTTGTTATGGGCTTAGGACGCTAAGCTGAACCTTTAGGGTGAAGGAGTGTGGTCTAAGATTATCACACCAGCCAAGCTGGCACTCAGGAATGAGGGCAACAGAAGGACATCGTCAGCTGTGCAGCGTCTCAGAAAACTGCCCGCTCGAGTCTGTCAGCCGCCAACCCGTAGCGCCTTAGGTCTGTGGCTCTCCCCCTGCAGGGCCTTGCTGACCAGCTGACCGAGGCAGCGCTCGGGTAGTCTGCTGCTGCACCTGGGCTGCTACGCTCTAGACCTTGCTTCATTACATCCCACTGAAACTGTCACCATCCAGGTTAAAACTGGTAGAAGGAAGTACTCTCCTGTGCTGTATATCCTGGGGTTAGGAGACATAATGTTATAGACATAAAAAGGAGTTAAGAAGCTACTTAAACACACGCATTATTTACACAACAAACATTTAAAGCTCCTACAGGTGATCCTGGTACTTGAGTAGTTTGAGAAAGTAGTTGACATAAGTATCTCATTCCTAAAGGCCCAGCAGTTGATAGCTATTACCAACTAATGAGGTTCTTACATGTTCCAAGAGAATTGCCTGAGTTTGTGCTAGTATAAAGCATGTCAGTGATCCTCAGACTAGGTTTCCATTTCAAAAAAACCACAATACATAGTGTTTACATTCAAGAGACAGAAAAATGTATTTTTGTTTCTAGGGTGTTTTTTCTGGTTTGCCATTTCATTGACTATGTACACATACGTTCTGTGTGTATCTAGTAGGGGATGGAAATAAATAAATGACAAGGACCCCAGTATTGCCTTCAGGAAGCTCATCTGAATCTAATGGGTAGAGCTAGATTGTGTGCATGATTGATAGTACAAGAAAAATTATGTTGCTGGAGAAATATACCTTATTCTGCCTAAAGAATAGAAGACTATATCAGAACTTAATAAGTATGTGTAGATTACAAAAGTTGAGAGGTCTTATTTTCTTTAAGTATAGTTTAACATACAGTAACCAAATGCCTTATTACTTTAAGACTGTTCGTTTGGGAAATCTTGCACTCCACAATTCGTAAGATGAACAAACACGTTCTCAAGATCCAGAAAGAGCTAGAAGAGGCTAAGGAAAAACTCGCAAGGCAACACAAGCGGGTGAGTCTTGTGTCGGCTGCAAATTGTCAAAATAATACAAGAAATCACTGAGAATATTTATTACCTTGATGGGAGCTTTTTTTTTTTTGAGACCAAATCATGCAGAGCTGTTTGTAGAAATGGAGGAAGGGGAAGGACTGGTGTCTGCTGTTCCCTGTTGTTTTCCTGCATGGTGAGCCTGTTTAGCAAGCCACAAAGCTTACTTTTTCCAGTTTACCATCCTGTTGCCTTCCCGAAGAAGGAAGGAGGACACTTGTGTTTCTATAAAAGTTTCTGATGCAAGAGGGAAAGAGAGAGAAGACTGTTGGTGTTCACCCCTTCCCTGGCACGGGGGTGGGGGGAGGGAACAGGGCAAGAGGAGACAGCCTTTTCTGGACCCATAACATACTCCTCGTATTATTAACATGTTTAGTATTGTAGCCATCTGGGGCAGAAGCAGTGAGCTGGATGTATCCTGAGATTTAACAGACAGTACTGGTGTTCTTCATGACAGTTTTCCAGTGTGAGGCACATTTACCAGAGAAAGGTAAAAGCAAGTTTTATGGCTTACGGAAACCCAGAGCAGTTTCAAGTGCCAGTCACTATGCAGGCACACACACACACACGAGTGACGGTATGCAAACACAAGCCGCAGACACTGTAAGGTAAACGGCATCATCCCCATTTTATACGTGTACCTGCTCCAGAGACCTGACTTCACAGCACCCTGTTCTCTAGATATGTGGTGACCATGATAACCACTAGCCACATGTCACTTTAATAAAATTTGAGTACAATGTAAAATTTAGTTCCTTAGTCACACTAACCACATTTTAAGTGCTCAGTAGTCATGTGTGGCTATTGTGAGGGCAGTGCAGATTTATGTTAACCAAAGTTTTGTGATGAGAGGTTCCCAAGACCCTAGCCCTATATTTACAGTTCAGCATTCACAAACTCAGGGTTCACAGCAATTTGATAAAACCACCATCGTGAATAACAAGAATCAACTGTACATTTTCCAAAGCTGTTTTCATTTTGAACGAAGACTGTGACATACATTTCCTCCTTGAGTGGGCTGTCCTGTAAAAGGCATAACTCCTTCTGCTATATAGGAAACCCAGTGCCATCACCCAAAACAAGTGCCACTGAATCTCCCTGGCCTGGGTAAGCACTCACAGGACTTTGGGTGTTTGCCTGTATGTTTGGTTCTGCTCTTGTAGAATACAAGTCTTCAGATAGTATTTGACCAGACACAGTAAAATCCTCAGCTCTGCTTGTTGGGGTTTAATACACTGGAATTCTAAATGGTGGTTTCCTTTTGTTCCTCTGCATTCTGCAGCGAAGTGATGATGATGACAGAAGCAGTGACAGGAAAGATGGGGCTCTTGAAGAACAAATAGAAAGACTGCAGGAAAAAGTGGAATCTGCTCAGAGTGAACAGAAGAATCTCTTCCTAGTCATATTTCAGGTATTGTGACTTGGGACATTGATAGGTTCAAAAAAACCAGTATATTTCTTTAGTTTTAAGAATTTTTTAATCGTTAGAAGTAATACATGCTTATTTTTAAGGTCTTAAATGTATAAAAATTTACACAGGAAATAAAAGTTCACTAACTGGAGGTCATTCTGTTGTTAATTAGCATGTATATTTCTTCTTGCTTAAAAAATGGCGGATGCTATTATTAAGTACTTGTAGATCTGTTTAGATGATTGCTTTCCTTCCTGAAGAGTTTTGTGTATACATTCCTGTTAACATTTCTGATTATGTCCTTAAAACAGATTCTAAGAAAAATTACTAGCATAAGTCATCTAAATATTAGATTACTTTTGTATTGCCAAAAATGATGTGCTACTCATTTCATCAGGCTCCCCAGGTGTCTCAGTGGTAAAGAAGTCTTCCTGCCAAGGCAGGAGATGTGGGTTTGACCCCCTGGAGAAGAAAAGGGCGGCCCACTCCAATATTCTTGCCCAGGAAATCCCGTTGACGGAGGAGCCTGGTGGGCTACAGTCCATGGGGTTGCAAAAAGTGAAAAACAACTCATGTTATCACTGGTCTGCCTTTCTACACCTCAGTATTTATTGAATCATGAAAGTTAGGGATACACACCACAAAGATAGGGTGAAACAAGCAATACCTTTGAGGTCTCTTTGTCAAAAATGTGATTGTTTCTGAAGAGTTTTTACTAACACCTCTGGAACTTTGTACCCTATTTCCAGCGTTTTATCATGATCCTGACCGAGCACTTAGTACGCTGTGAAACTGATGGGACCAGTGTGTTAACACCGTGGTATAAGAACTGTATAGAGCGGCTCCAGCAGATCTTCCTACAGGTTTGTGGAAAAGTTTGATTAGGGTAATAAACATCACTATTCTCAGCCATGGGCATTCTCTCCTAGCTCAGTTAGAATGCAGCCTGTAAGTACCAGAGCTTCAGAATGACATGGCTTCGGCAGCGGTTGCCCAGTCGGGAAAGAATCTGCCTGAGAAATCCCACGGACAGGGGGGCCTGGGGGGCTGCAGCCCGCGGGGTCGGGGAGAGCCGGGCACGACCCAGTGCCTAAGCACAGCGCGTCCTCGGCCGCAGGGGCTCTCCGTTTTACTCACTTATCATCTTTTTTTCTCCGTTTTAAAAAGCACCGACTCTGTCAGGTTATCTAGTACCTTCAGTTACTGTCCATTTGTTCCTACTGCTGCTCGTCAGGATATTCAGGCTTAAAACTGGCTCTGTGTCACTCAGACTCCTAATTGTCATTCTCTTTGTTGGAGAGCCTAGCTGTAACACAAAACAGAAAAATGCTAAGGGAAGCGTAGTAAGATTTTAAGAACCTCTATGAATCCAAAGTTCAAATGATAACTGTGCTTCTGGAGGCGCCATTAATAACATAAGTTCCCTGAGGTTCTTACAGAAAGCAGACTGCAACACGTCCTCTCCTGGAGTTAAGTTAAAGATTTAGAGTAGAGTGGTGTCTCCAGACACCAACACCCCAGGCAAGTCCTTGCCTGTCTGTTCTGGACGGGAGTCATTGAAGCGGAGGGCTTAAAGGGGAAAAGGTTCCTTAAAAAATCTAGAGTAAGGCTTTGGTTGAAGGCTTACTTATTGTCAACAGCCTGATCCTATAGGAATCTGACTATATTAAAGTTTATATATGCACAGGTAGAAGAAACTTTTTCTGACAATTTTTTCCAGTTAGGCTCAATAAGTCACTGATTTTCAGTAAGACGGATGACCTCTATTTTAAAAGATAAAAAACAGGTTTGGGTTTCTCGTTTTGTGGAATACTTAACAGATCACTGGCTAATTCTGAAATATAAATAGGTTAAATATTTTTTTCTTAACACATGTCTCTGCTTAATGCCCTAACCAAAACAGGGAGTGATTTCCAAATCTCCTTCTTCATAGTTCGTTCTTTGTCTGGGCAGCTTTTAAAAAGTCACACTTTAGGGGCAGGGCTTCCCTGGTGGGTCAGAGGTTAGAGCGTCTGCCTGCCGTGCGGGAGACCCGGGTTCGATCCCTGGGTTGGGAAGATCCCCTGGAGAAGGAAATGGAAACCCACTCCAGTATTCTTGCCTGGAAAATTCCATGGACTGAGGAGCCTGGCAGGCTACAGTCCGTGCGGTCACAAGGAGTCGGATGCGACTGAGCGACTTCACTTTCACTTTCAATTAGAGAAAAGCACCAGCTGAACTCATCCAGCAGAGTAGCAGGTGCTGCTGCCACGGCCTTGGATTATCAACTGCATAGAAACAGACCAGAACTGACTGGATCTTTTCATTATTGAACGTCATTTTTTTCTTATTCCCCTACATTTTCTCAGTATTCGGGCTTTCCAGGATTATTATTCCTAGCAGCCAAACCGCTTTTTCCTCTGCTCTTTCCCATCACGCCACACTGCGGGTGGGCTTCAGGGGGGCGTTCTGTGAGATTGCTTACGCGCCCCTTTTCTGTGTCCGCAGCATCACCACACAATCCAGCAGTACATGGTGACCCTGGAGAACCTGCTCTTCACTGCCGAGCTGGACCCTCACATCCTGGCGGTGTTCCGGCAGTTCTGTGCCCTGCAGGCCTAGGGCCATTTCCCCCTTCCTGTCAAGATTTCTTTAAAAGATCTCAAAATAATCTGTCTTATTTTTGATTGTTTGACTGCTTGCTTTGTTGTAGCATCCTGTCACTTTCTAAAAGAAAGAGAGAGAGGAGGACAGTGAAGAAATATGGTATTGATTACCCTTAACTGCCCCTAAAAAGCAGATATTCCCTAATGACAATAATGTGATAATGACCATAGGATGTATTATATATGTGACAAATACAGCTTTTCTGATATTTTTTTCTCCTTAAGGCACAAAGATAACTAATTTGAGGTATGTGAAACACTAGAGGGTCAAGCTTATTTACCAAGTAGTATATAGAACTGATGAATTTATTATCAAGTAGCATAGCTTTTCACAGCTCATGGGTAACCTAACATGGCTGAAATAAAAACTAAAAATGTTTTTTAAACTTTGGTATTTCATGATTTATCATCTCAGTCTACTTTAGTGATTTCTTTATAAAATAACTCCATCTGAAATTTTCTCTTCAAAATACTTTTAATTACTGTAATATTTTTAAGATACTATTAAAAACTTACTAGAGTAGCAAACTCCTAAATCTGAACACAAATCACCTGGGGCTGTCTAAAAAGTTATTTTTTAAATTAATATTAAACCACAGCCTTTCAAACACAGACATATCTGGTAGTTCTTAAGGCTCCCAGGTAATTGCAATATGCAGACAAGTTTTGGAATTATCATCTTAGAAGATCTGGTCATCTCAAATCTGAGACAGATCTGTTCAAGCTCATATAGTGCATTTCTAAGTAGCTAGACTGACTAATGCCTAGGGTTAGATGTAGGTTTGGATTTTATTTCTGTGGAATCTGGTCCAAGTAACTACTAATTCCTAAACCTGTTTCCTATATGGTGTTGAGGCTTAACTAAGATAAGAAAAGTACATCATAAAATAACAAGGGGTTATCTGACATTCCAAATTTCTAGCATTTTTAGTTTTTTTCTCATTGAACCTTTGGAAAAACTTAGCAATAATCCCACAACTGAAGTAGCTTTGTTCGTTTGTACAATATAATGTTTTTTTTAAACTAATGTTTTTTTTAAACTTAGCACATCATAAGTTTACGGTGCATAATACATGGGGTCTCTCTGGTTTGCCATATACTTGGTGGCTACAGAACATAGCCTACTCAGTAGATGGAGATTCTTAGGATTGTAAAACACCACACCATTTAAGACAAATAATCACAAGATTAAAGTTGCATGGCAAGTTACTGGCAGGGAACTAAAAGCCAAGTGCTTAGCTAAATGTTCTTTTGTTTATACTGTTCCTCCTTCCCACAAACTATGTAATTAGTTAGAAATGGCTCCTGTCCTCAAGAAGCTAAAGGATAACATTCAAGGCTTTGGTAACTTTGACCCTGAAGCTGCTTTGTAATCCTTGCAGAATGTATCGCAAAGTCTGGCTACTTAGACTTTACCTGATCCACCTCCTTTCTCTTAGACCCTCTTCACGTGTAACGGTTGCTTCTAACAACTGCTCACTGATGTGACCCTGCTCCGATCCAGTCTGGCAAACTAGGTGTATGGAAAAACCAAACCAGAGATTGAATTCTGAAGAAACACATTCAACAGTTGCTCTCTCCACAAATAAAGCTCACAGAAACAAAAGAATGGCATGTCACACTGTACATCATACCTTACAATAAATCAATATTCTGTTAAACTGAACTGATGCCATTTAACATGCTTTTTTGTCCAAGTAAACATAATTTTTGTTTTCTTTGACTCTGAATCTCACAGGAATTACTCAGAAAGCAGTTCAAATGAAGATAAAGTTTGCTTGCTTTTCCTGGAAAGTACTCAGCAGTGATTTCTGTAACTTACTAATAATCTACAGTTATATCTGAAAATGAAAGAGGAGGACAGAACTTGGCAAGCTGAGCAGAGCGTATGTGGCTGTCAGTGATACCTCGACACCAGGACTGTCTGACACTGAAGGTGAAGAGGGGCTGACTAGAAGCCCACCTCAGCCAGGCAAGCCTAGCTGTACTGGCCTCGGTAATACACGCTCATTAACATGTGTCATTTGCCATAGATTTGCCATATTTAATCATGACAGTCTTTAGATTATTGTGCCTATACGACAGATAAAAACAGGCCCACTGAGCAACTCACCCAAGGTCCACAGCTAGTAAATGGAATCTGAAACTATGTCCATGTGTGGTTCAAGGGTTCCTTCTCTCTCAATGCAGTAATGCTGTTGTCAGCAGCCTGAACCCCTAGTTACTTGCTGGAAGCTTTTGGTTTTGTCCAAAGAAGGTCTTGCTGCCCATTCAGAATCGATTTTTACTGAGCTGTAATATTCAGCATAGCACATGAAAGAAAATCAACATTCGAAAAACACAGTCAGCATTTCTGTACTGAGCACTTATACAGAGAATTAGTCATTACAGTCTCAAGTCTTTGGCTTCGACTCGTTTTGACTTTTGCTCTTCTTCAAGCAGAATCTCCAAGAGCTGATCTGAAGAAAAACATGAAGATGTATAAAAACTTCCTATTAGTAGCAGTAAGATAAAAAGTCCTGTCAAAGAACAACGTAAAATGATCTATCTTGAATTTGTATTTAAAAAAAAAAAAAAGAATGCATACACCCTGTTAATCAAGCACTTGGGATCAATTGCTCTTACCAGGTAACTACCTTGTAATCCTTTTGACAAGATAGGGTAATATTTGACTATTTAAACATGATCCAAATGTCTGGGGTGACGTCAGGTTGTAGGTTACGATTCCTTTAGAAGTGCTACATAAGCACAGAAGCAAGCTGTCTTCCCTCCCAGGATTACATGAGAATACCTGGAAGGCACTTTGCATAGTGTCTGCACGACACATGGAAAATGGTCAGTAAATGTTAACAACTTATCATTACCTTTGATCAACAAACAGTATAGCTGTTTTTCTATTCTACTCACATTTGAAAAGGGATATCCAGACACTGATAGATTATCATAAACCCTAAGGATATAGAAAACTCGCCCCAGCAAAGCTCCCCCACACCCTGACACCCTGACTTAGAGACAGACATGGTCTAGAAGACCTGGCCCAGGGTCTGGGGTGCAGTGGTCTCCCACCATCCCTGCTGGTTCCTGGGATCTGAACCCAGTTCGGCCAGCTTTTGCCTTTACTGCTAAAAACGCCCTCCTACCTCAGTCGAGGGTTTGCCTTGGTCACTTATTTCTCAGCTTTAGCTCTAAGCTAACACTTTTGAACCCATTTTACTGCTCAGCTCCCACCCTTATTACAGTAAAACTGGTCACACGCTCAGTGTTTTGCCCACCAGACCTGCTGGACCTTAACTGAAACTTGCTGTTAAGCCAAAACGTACATAATTATTGAAGCATTATTTATACAAGTGGTTCATTCATTTATGAAGACTTTACATTTTGGTGAGTTTTGAACAGGACCAATCTAAATTTCCATGCTGTAGAACAGATCACTTAACTAAAAATCACATCTTCTCATATGTCAGTTCATGGCCACACACAGTACAAGTCTTCCGGTACATGTCATCCTCTAGGCTCTCTTCAGCCCCATACTCATGTTGATGAGCAACTGTTTCCTTTTTCCATACACTGCTTCTTACCGCTCGCCGTAACTCTAAGGAAAAAAATAAAAGCCAACTGTTCAGTGGTGCTATTGAGCTGAATTAAAAATCCATTGCTTTTCAGCTGTGTTTAACCAAATATGGTTTATGCCTTAATTTTATAACAAGTCAAAACTAATGACACAGATTTGGCAGGCCTACTTTCTTGCCTGTGGAATCTTTTTGAAAGATTGAAACAGGAGGTTCAGAAATGGGGTATGTGGGTTAGAAGAACAGCAAGAAACTAGACTCAGAAGGCATGCAGAGAGCAGTTTAAGCAGCTGACTGTGGGAGGCAGGATGCCAAGAATGCGAGGGGAACCGACTGGGTGACTGAGGACAAGGACTTAAGTTCCTCACAATCAGGAGCTGCTTCTCTAAGAGGCAAGTCACACTGCAAGAAAACGAGAAAGCCAAGAACCCCGCCACTCCGCTGATGTTCACCTTAGAAAAGCTGCTCCTGCAACCGACCTTATGTCTACTGACTTCTTTATTTTATAGAATGACAGCAGTATTTTAGGAGACAAGTTGCTAGGAATTGTTACAAAGTACAACAAATAAAAGAATCACTGGCTATTAAGAGCTGGAAAGAACTACAGAGTTATTTTACTTCATTTTATTTTGCAGGTAGGAAAAGTGAACAAAGATATGAATAGCAGGGGAACCCAGGTCATGTATTCCAACGTTGAGAACTTTTCCTACTTCATCATACAAAACAGCATTTTCACAAAGAAAAGAATCGTGTTGGATGCTCTGAAAAGCACCCAGGACATGCTAAAGTTCACACTGCATGTTACCTGAAGAAACCAAATACTTTGTGTTAATTAGAAACTAAGTTAATAACACCTCAGTTTCTAGTTTAATGAATAAAAGGCAAATTTTCTCTACTCTGACCAATGATCCAGCATTGTCTTTGATGGCCCTACCTAAGGGAGAGTATGATCATTACCTTCTATGATCTCAACCTTAAAAACCAAAGTGCACCAAGTAATCACATATTTTCTTTCATCCATTTTACTATAGCATCAAAATACTTGAGTCTTTATGTTTAGCCTTTACTATATCATATGGATAAGCAAACAAACAAGGCTATGTATCAGGCACTGTCGTAAGTACTTTATATAAACACATTCAGTCCTCACAACACTTTGTAGCAAGTACAGCTATCATCCCAGTTTCACAGATGAGGACCCTAGCGCACAGAGGGGCAACGTAAGCTGTGCCTGAGGTCAGGCAGGCGGGGGCACAGTCTGGCTCAGTCCGTGTTCTTAGCCACCAGGCTGGGCTGCCTTCCCGTACGTCCACTAGGAAAAGCGCTCTATCTCAGGCTACTTTCAGGCTTCAGTGTACACACTTCTAGATAGTTTGTATCTATCATGTTCTTCTAAACTCGAATCTTTGTTCCTATATCCTCCCATATTCTGAAGAACCTTATTTTAAAGTGGGATATTTTTAAAATAAAAAACGGTATGCTAACCAGAACTGCACAGATACCTCATGGTTTCAGATAATGACAAGAAGACGTTTCTGTTCAAGTTCCAGTACCTACTTTTCAACTTTGTTCTGATGTAAAGTATTCTGGCCACTTCTCCTTTACTACCCAATGAAGACAATCTCTCAGAATGTGACTGCATGCCGAACACTAAGCTAACCTCTGCCCCATCTGAGCATTCTGTGAACTTGAGAGATAAGAAAATTGTTTTCTTAACACTAAAAGAATACTTAACAAAAATATACCTTACTATCCATAATTGTCACAACTGAACATAATGTTTTATTCTGACTTCATGGCTTTTCTTCCCCATTCTTCAGCTAACCTATCAAGGTCTATAATGACAAGAACAAAGCCTGTCTTTAGGACATTCCTGAAAAAACTTGTGCTAGAAAGGAAGTAATAAAAAAAATTTAATAAAAACCTGCTGTCGCATTTTCTGCCACTTTCCTCCACCTGAACAATCTAGTCCTAAAGCCATGAGGAGGAGCAAGTAAAGCCAGCATCTGTGGCAGGGTGGGCAGAGCCCAAGATAAATGAGGAGGGTCTCCTAGAGAGGAGGCAGCACGTGAAGGGGTCTTGGTTACATCCAGGAGCACCAGTCAAGTAACTACACATATTACAAAGGATAGTGGAAATCAGCTTCTGACTGTCAGAGAAAGGAGTTACAAGTAAGGAAAGGGAGAAAACCAGAATAAACCCTAAATTTTGGATTAGAGCTGGGTGTGAACTCAAGGCTTCAACTATACATTATAGATATATAGTGTATATTTATTGGCTACCTGATGCGAAGAGCTGACTCATTGGAAAAGGCCCTGATGCTGGGAAAGATTGAAGGCAGGAGGGAAAGATTGAAGGCAGGAGGGAAAGGGGATGACAGAGAATGAGATGGTTGGATGGCATCACTGACTCGATGGACTTGAATCTGAGCAAGCTCTGGAGTTGGTGGTGATGGACAGGGAAGGCTGGGGTGCTGCAGTCCATGGAGTTGCAAAGAGTCAGACACGACTGAGCGACTAAACTGAACTGATACATATGTGCGTGTTTTGAGCTAGAAAGGTGTGCTCAAAAAATATGAAGACATGCCAAAAGGACACAAGAGCTGGTCTGGAGAGACTTCTGTTGGCCTAAATCTGAGGCAATTTGAACACCAAAATAATTGAGGGCAGAAATTAACCAAAAGCCACTGAGAAGAACAGGAATTAATGAATCCATACCAGTAACAAATAAGTAGGGGAGAGGATGCTATCAGGGCTGACCTCCAACTGTTAAATGTGGAATGAGTGCTGAAGTCAGAAAACAGTCTTTGCAACCAGCATCCTAGGTTCAGTCAAGAACCACCCATGGATGGATGCTAAATTCAGGGGAAGTGTTGAACAGAAGCAGGCACTTACATGGTCTTACAGGACTTTTGCCTATCAAATAAAAAATAAATACATCACCGCTAAGGGCAGATGGGTATCACATGCCTCCAGACATGATACCCTGGAAAAGTCACATCAGCTGTATACTACCCAACCTGAAATGAATAACTTGAATCTGACCATCAGGAAACATCAGAAAAACCCCACATGAAAAACATTACTGCAAAAAAGATAGGCAGAGGAAGGGGAAAGACTTCCTGAAAAATACCAGTGTCATAAACGATAAAGGCTATGAAAATATCCCAGAATAAAGAAATTCAGAAAGACGTGGCACCTAAAGACAGGACCTGGCCCTAGACTAGACTTTACACTGGATGAATAAACTACCCAGGACATAACTGGGCCAACTAACAAAGCTGGAATAAGGATGACTAAGCAAACATATAGATACTAAACTTTTGTAAGACACTCTTCCTATTCTTTGGAAATTCACATTTTTAGTATTTAGGGATAAAAAAGGCTGGCAGTGTACACAACCCACTCTTAAACGGTTCAGAAAAAGCAATGTGCAGGGGATGCATATGGCGTGAAGTGCCAACAATGGTAAATCCAGGTGGAGGATGTGCGGTGTCCCTTGTGCCACTCTTATCCTTGGGATTCTATGTAAGTTTGAAATCATTTCCAAGGAAAAACATTTTTAAAAAGACAGAAGCTAGATTGAAGGGACATCCACTGGCCAAATTTGGGCATTAAGATGAATAATGGAAAGAAGTACAACAAGGCCACATACTGTCACCCTGCTTATTTAATTTATATGCAGAGTACATCACGAGACATGCCAGGCTGGATGAATCACAAGCTGGAATCAAGATTGCCGGGAGAAATAACCACCTCAGATAGGCAGATGATGCCACTCTTAACTGCAGAATGTGAAGAGGAACTAAACAGCCTCTTGAGGGCGAAAGAGTGAAAAAGCTGGCTTGAAACACAACATTAAAAAAACTAAGATCATGGCATTCAGTCCCATCAGTTCATGGCAAACAGAAGGGGGAACAGTGGAAGAAATGACAGATTTTGTTTCTTGGGTTCCAAAATCACTGTGGATGGAGACAAACCTATACAGCATATTAAAAAGCAGAGGCATCATTTTGCCAACAAAGGTTCGTATAGTCAAAGTTACGGTTTTTTTCAGTAATCACATACAGATGTGACAGTGACCCATAAGGAAGGCTGAGCACCAAAGAACTGATGCTTTCAGAAAACTGTGGTGCTGGATAAGACTCTTGAGAGTCCCTTGGGCTGCAAAGAGAGCAAACCAATCAATCCTAAAGGAAATCAACCCTGAATACTCACTGAAAGGATTGCTGCTGAAGCTGCAATACTCTGGCCACCTGACATGAAGAGCCAGCTCAGTGGAAAAGACCCTACTCCTGGCAAAGACTGAAGGCAAAAGGAGAAGGGGCTGGCAGAGGAGAAGATGGTTAGACAGCATCTCTGACTCAATGGACACGAATCTGAGCAAGCTCCTGGAGACAGTGGAGGACAGAGGGGCCTGGCGCGCTGCAGTCCCTGATGTCGCAGAGTCAGACACGACTTCAGTGACTCAACAGCAGCAAAGAGTGGACAGGCTGTAACAGTGACTTGAGAGTGAGAATCCGTGATTCCAGCTGCCACTGAAAAAAGCTCTTCTTTCCAAAAGAAACCAGACAATAACTGTAGAAATAACAGAAATAGAAAGTCACCATTTATATTTACCCTAATAATAACCGACTCACTCAGACAAGACTCAACCCGTGTGCTGAAACCACTGAATGAGACTTAAGGAATGAGAGATTCACACAGTGTTAAGAGTCACCCCACAGATTTTCTATTAATTATAAAGGGGAAGGGTCCCTTTACAATGGGGAAATCCGGCAGATACTGCCTTCGTTAAGTGATACCGCGTGTCTCCTAGGTGACTGATCTGAATATAGTCACGAGAAAACAAACTGCTAATAAACCAGATGGAGGGACATTTTGGAAAATGGGTAGCCTGGACTCTTCAAAAATTATAATAAAAGAAAAAGGCTGAGGAAAAAAAGAGACCCTGGATATGTATCATCATTGATGGGCCCCTGGATCCAACAACTGAAAAGCTATAAAGGACATTGGAACACCTGGGGAGAGAACACATAGATTACATGCTGAGTAACAGCGTTATATTAATGTACGGTTTGTGTGTGATATTTTTTAGTCAGCAGAAAAATGTCCTCGTTTATAGTAGATCAATGCTGAAGTATTAAGAATCACAGTGTCTGCAAATAACTCTTAAATGGCTCAGCAAAATGTGTGTGTGAATGAATGAGAAAAAAGCAAGTGGAAAAATGTCAACATCTGGTGAAATAAAGCATTTGTTTAATTACAGATTAGTAATAGTTTTTCACATTTCTTCATTTAAGCAACTTAAAATTTCGGAAAGTAGAGGTCAACCACTACTGCTGAGACTGAGAAGAGGGCAGTGAGGCCAGAGGCCAGCAGCGTGGGAGACGGCCCGCCCGGCCTCGGGAGAGCCGGGCAACCCCGAGGTGGGGAGGGGTGTGCCAGGCAGGCCGGAAAAGCCCGAGACCGCAGGAGGCAGCAGCAGTTTGCCATGTTCCCACCTCCTGGTCCCACTGGCCGAGAATTTCACAATGCAGAGAACGGCGGACCACTTCTGTTGGAAGGTTCCAAAAATGCTCACGGTAACCATCGGTCTTGCTACTGCCTATCTTCAGAGACTGCTTCTATTTTTTTACCCAAAGACGTTTTCCCCTAAATGCTTGTTTCAGTGAAAAATATATTTTATACCACTCTAAAATTTGTATTTCATCCAGTTTAGTATCTTAATTTTGCAAAAGAGGCAGCCTGTATTCAAAGAAGCCCAGTGCTGCTTATGAGGAAGACTCACAATAAAAACCAGTGGAGGGAGACCATGGACTGCGAGATACCTGAAGGGACCCAGGGTGCCTGCCGGTAACTAGAGGGGGAAAATCGCAAGGAAGTAACACCACAT